CAAAAGACTTTCTGAGACCACTCTTGCTTTAATATTAGCCTGGAGCCGAGGAAAGCTTGGCTTTTTGGGAATAACTTTGGCCCAGGAGTCTGTGTCGTCTACACTGAGAGTGGAGTGAACCCAAAGAGCTCCATAGCCGCGGCACTGCGGGCAACTCAGGGCTTGTTGAGCCGCAGCAACGCTCGCCTAACCTATTTGCCCTGCATTGTGTCCTCGCGTAGCCTATTTGCTCTGAATTGTGCATAGGATTAAGAGAGAAGTGCAACAGCAGCATCAAATTCGGTAGTAAAGCAGCAACGGCATTAACAGCAACACCGGCAACGCGGCAAGCGTTGCCCAGAAGCCCCAGTTAAACGCTACCAAAGCAGGCTTCTAAGTACTGAATAGATAAATGACTTTGTTGATCACTAACTTATCTTTTTTCAGCTTGTAGTCCAGAGAGTATGAGCAAGAGCAACGAGCCACCGGTGAGCGTCGTCGTCGCAGGGGGAAGACAAGCCCAGCTGTGCAGTGCGGCCGTGCTGCCTAGCAGAGGCCGTCTCAAGAGAACTGCAATTCTTTTTTAAAATATAAATAAAGTTGTTTCTTGACTTGAAGCGGAGTTGTTGCAGTTGTAGCCACTTACACGGGAAGCGAGGTGGTCGTCGCTGGCCGCAGTGCATGACGACTCACCAGCCACTTGTCTGCAGCCCGAAGCTGCCGATGCTCAACTTTGGCAAGCCTTCAAATTCTTGAACAGCTTTTAAACGCGTCACTCGTTTTTTCCTCATCATCTTATCGCTTGCTCCCTGCAGCCCGTCGATACGATCAGCTGGCCGCTCGAGACCGCCGAACCGGTGGACGCCAGCAGTGACTTCCATCATTTTTTTTGCTACTTTCACGTAATCTGGTTTGTTTTCAATGTAAATAGAGTATTATTCTGCCCAGTGCTGTTCATTTTAGGGGAAGCTGGGGTGGCTTCTTTCGGCGGCGCCGTCTGTCCGCTCCGTCACCACTGCTCCGGAAGAGCTGCGCAGAACAAACTGCCCCCAAGTTTTAGCTATACCTCTTGGAATAATGCTGTTAATTGCACTGGCATGGCTAGGCTCTGCACTAACTCAGTCCTCTTCTGTTGCCTTCCCCAGTGCAGCGCCCCACCGCCTTGCGAGCATCTCACGCCTCAGCTGGACTTCTGAGAAATTCCCCACAGATGCTCCAGCGGCGCTTCAGCCGGCAGCTGCAGCTGCACAAATGCCTCATGGGACAAAACTGCCTCATGAGGCGCCTCCAGAGGCGGGAGGCTCGCCGCAGCAGAGCCTGCGGAGTGCGAATTTTCCCAAGTCCCGGGACTTGGAAGCGCCCACTGTTCTGAATTCAACTAAGACCTCAACTCCGCAGCCGCAGCAACAAACCCAAAGACTGCACAGCAGCAGCAGCAGCCGCAGCAGCAGCAGCAGCCGCAGCAGCGCGCCGTCTGTGGACTCGAAGGCTGGCGCTTCGCGGGCGCGCAACAGCAAATGGCATCTTTTCTCTTTTCTGCAAGAACCCCCCATGCCAAACACTGTTATAGTTATTTTCGTGGGCAGCGCAGTTGTTTTAGTGTTAATAGTTGTGGCCATCATTGCGCACTACGCCCTCAGCTCCCGCACTCAACTGCGACAGGGCAGCGCCACCTTCGCGAGGCAGCAGCACCACGGTGCGTCTTCAGGGCTTTCACTGCGCCAATTCCTGCAGAAACTCCTCAGAAAAGGCGCAATTGTTGCAATATTTCTGAAATATTGTGAAAATATGAAATACTGCTGCAGTAGTTCTCGAAATATTGTGGATCAGTGGCTCTGTGTCCTGCACTGCTGCGCTTCCCTCAGGCCGCCCACAGCAGCGCAACCCCTTAGTTCCAAGGCTCAGCCACGACGCCTTTGCCCCCGTGGTGGAAAGCCACCCGATATCCAGGCCCGAGTCTTTCAATTCTCTTTACGATTTACCTCCAGGGTAAGTCAAGGTCACCGCTGCTACTCCTGCCTGCCAGCAATTCACGTTAGTTCACTTTAGTTCGATAGCGAAGCTCAAGTGCCGCTGCACTACCCCTAAACAGAACACCACGGCTGCAGCACTCTGCGTTTTTCGCCGCTCTTCTGCAGCTTTAATGAAAGAAAGACTCCGAGGGAACTGGAGTACGAACGGCGGGTAATGCACACCCGCCTAGCGCCTAGAGCGGAGGATCCGCAGCGGGAACAAACCCGGCGAATGGACTCTCGCAGCACACCCCGTGGGAAGCTGGACAGCTGAAGCAACAGATGCTGCTCCCACTAATCTAGGTTTAGTCTATAAGGTCCAGAAGGACGCAGTCGCAGCTTTTAGTGCTACTTCCACTACTGCCACCTCCCTACGCTATGATCAAGGTCGAGACGCCGTGGAAGGAGCATTCTAGCAAATCTCGGCAACACGGAGTGGCCAACAGCGTTGGACTATCGAAAATGATTCGAACCAATGTTCCTAATGGCGCGAGAAACTGCTGCTACGCAGAATCAAACGGCCACTGGGAGATCCACCTCCTGACAAACAAACTGCCCCTGCGACTGCGAACTTAGAGGCGAAAGCCCCAAGTTCTGACCCCCTCTGTGTGTACTGGAAGGTTACTTTGTAGGTGTGCTGCTATTCCTTCTCGTTCACCTTGACCTTTGTCTCATCTTTCTTCTCTTGCGCTGCAATCTCCTGGTGCGCTTCTTCTTCCACTGCGAAGGAAAACACGCAAGGAACAGGAGCAACAGATGTCCCATTGTTTTAAAAACGTGGCGCTGCTCAGCGAAACTGAGCAAGCTTTAGAGCTTTAAAGGGATCTGCTGCACAGAAACGCCAGAAGTGCCGTGGAATAAACCTGCAACAAAATAAAATTTGTCATTTTCCATGGGACCCCCACCACACCGAGAAGTATAGCAGCTACCCTTAGTACATCATCATAGGCATCTCATAAACCAAGCACCAAAAGAAATGAAAGAGGAAAGTAGGGAACTTGACAGACTCTTCAGACATCTAAGGAGGTCGCCAGGCGTTGCCCCAGGCGCTTGAGGCATCGCGTACGCAACACACTGCGAATGTGAAACGGCTATCCTTGTTGTCATCAGAGCAAGCCCGTCAAAGAAAATAATAAATGGAAATATAATACAATTTACAGACTTTTCAGACATCTAAGGAGGTCGTCAGGCGTTGCCCCAGGCGCTTGAGGCAACGCGTACGCGACACACTGCGAATGTGAAACGGCTGTCCTTGTTGTCATCAGAATAAGCCCGTAAATAAAGATAAATTACAATATAACACAAAGATAAATTACAATATAACACAATTTGGGAGACTTCTCAGACATCTAAGGAGGTCGCCAGGCGTTGCCCCAGGCGCTTGAGGCATCGCGTACGCAACACACTGCGAATGTGAAACGGCTATCCTTTGCTGTCATCAAAACAAGCCCTCCCAAAAAAATAACCAAAAGAAGAAATAATCAAAAGAAATATATAACAGTATTCGACAGACTTTCAGACATCTAAGGAAGTCGTCAGGCGTTGCCCCAGGCGCTTGAGGCATCGCGTACGCAACACACTGCGAATGTGAAACGGCTATCCTTGCTGTCATCAGAGCAAGCCTCTGAAACTTCTACAGAGCAAAAGCACAAAAAGAGGCACGGAAGACCCACAAGTCATTTGTCTACAAAGCGAAAAAGCCCCACACACAAAAAAGTTGAACATGAAAAGCAGAACGGGCGGTGGAAAGCTCCCGAGCAGTTGGGTAAGCCAACTCGCCTTCATCACATTCGCTTGAATCACGGACTCTGCGATACTGCGAATGTGAAGCGGCTACACCGGGCAGCCACAGCCACACTTCCTCCAAGAAAGCGCAGTGAACACGGAATACAAGAAACCCAAAAGCTCAATGAAATTAGAATGAGCCTCCGAACACTAAGAAAGAAGACAGGCGTTGTTGTCCGCCCACGACGCATCGCATAGCCAGCCAACTGGGAATGTGAACACGTCCGTGTCCAGGTTTCTGTAGCAGCCGACCCCTGTTCACGGCCATCTCGGATCCACCACCAGGTGCCAGGGAATCCAAAGATGGCCAGAATGATAAGAAGTTACATATGAAGCCTCGCAAACACCCAAAGGTAGCATTTCCCACCTTCACTGAAGAGGTTCATGCCCTGACGAAATGTGCGCAGAGCGGCGAGCGGGCACTCCACAGCTTGTTCCGCAGGTGAACATTGAAGGCACAAAAGAAACGTACCAAAAACGTAGGCAGAACTCAAGAATCGTACAACAGGGAAAAAGGTACACGAACAGAAGGCATCAAAACATAAAGTAGGGTGGCTGCAGTGCAAGAGAGCCCTGCCGTCGTGGGGAACGCACTTTCCACCTCATCTTCGCCCTAGACTTCTTATATCTGCTGGCGCCGTGAGCCATTTTCAAAAATGTGTAAAAAGAACAGTGGAGATAAATATCCCGTACTTCGAACCCCTCTTTTGAGGACACCACGGAGCCCCGCAGCTACGCCCCTGCGGGGAGGGAGCGCTGCAGCGCCCAGCTCTTGCAAACCCCACAGTCTGCATGCATCAGCCCTCTGTGCAGCTTAAGAACAGCGAGTGCATGCGGTGAATCTTTTTCAGTAACCAGCATTTAGCAGATGGAATAAATCCCTTTTCAATTCCTAGCCAAGATTTATTAGTCCCTGGGGCTCTGCAGTGGCATCATCAGGATTCTACAGAGAGCCTGTGCTGCAGGTGAGTCCAGTGGTATCCCCGAAAACACTGCCACTGCAGTACAAGAGAAGTTTTAAGAATTATTGTGCTTTAGAGTTTGTGCCAACGGAATTTTCCCAGTAAACTGCGCGCACACAGGGGTTGCAGCAACACCCACGAGTAAGGCTGGACAAAATACTGCGGGAGGAGGTGTAAGATGAATAGTGACAAAGTAGCAAATCAGCAGTTAGTGACTTCTTGGTGAACTCGAATTTTGCAACTTAAATGCCTATACACTGCAACATGAACGCGTGGTAAGAATCCGAGGAAGTGCGGGACAATTTAAAGTAAAAGCAGACCGAAGCAACCGAGCGATATGCCCGGAAGTTATATGTGGAACAGAACTGCTGATTTCTCAAACAGCATAGCTTTGTGCTAGAGGGCGCGCCACACCGTATGGAACCTTAAGTCCAAATGGGCTAAAAAGTGTACAGAAGCATTCCAGCGAAGTTAACCAGCGCGTAAAGTAGAGGGCGCTGAAGTGGCTTAGCCACATCAGACCATTACCAGCTGTTTCTTTAGCCGTGCCTTTTCGGGTTAACGAGTGGGAAGGTGTGGAGGTTGAGATGTGCAAAACGGCTTTTAGTTCAAATCTTTTAGTTCAAATCCTGGAGGCAACGCCAAATATTTGAATAAAAGCATTGAAGGCTGCAAAAGGACGGGCTTGGTGTGGAATGCAAGCGGGCACGGAGTCTTCGACCCTTAGCGACAGACTAGGCGTCTCAACTTCAGCACTTTTTGTCTTGCTTTTGTACGAAAGAGAATCAGGGCCAGAAAGTGGATGCTGCATGTTGCCGTATATGAAGTTGTCAGCGCATAGTCGTGCCCACTAAAACATTTTCTTTTGTTATCAAAACGTCTTCTCTATGGTTTTAAGAAAGAGTTTCATCCATATTTTGCTATCTGATATCCCTCAAGGTGATCTGTCGTGGTCGTGATTTGGTTTTGCTCAAGTTCGGGTGGCGTGCGTCTCTGCTGACTGATGAATATGCTTGAACAAAGGTTGAAAACTTGGTCCAAAGATCTCTGGCTATCATTGTAATGACTCCGCTAATCGCCGTACCCCAGCTAGTGCAAGCATTTTGCCACCGCAGGAACTGTTTTATGTTCAAAAGAAAGCAGCACCTTCCCACTGTGCTACGCTCATAGCGAAATAGCCGGGCTCATAAAAGTGTGCAGCTATTGGTGCTATCCGTAGATTGAGAGCACCCGCGTCGCTCCTGGGCATTTAAATTGTTCCCCCTCCATTCAGTACGATGTTGCATCGAGTGGAGATTCAAAATTTAAGGGCATTTCTTCAAACACATCACGACTCTTTTCACAACTGTATAACGTAACATATTCCGCATGGAAAGAGGCCTCAATTATTGCCTGCCTCTGAACACAGCTAGCAATCGATATGGCAAGTAGCAATAACACAGCTTGGCTTGATAGTATTGAGAGTGTTGAGATTGTGATTTAGCGGCTAAAGGGGCCTTCCGTTGATGTCTGAATCTATCAGGGGCTACGCTTCTGTTGGTGTCGCCGGATGGGAATGAAATGTTTACGGTGAGACAACACCAATGACAGAATCTTTTGAGCCACCCCAAACGGGTCTACCATGTAGGCTCGTGTTCACCGGCCAGTGCCCTAGGAAAATTGGATATGCAACAGTGCAACATGAGCACGAAAAAGCACCTGGTGGAATCAACTGGGGGCATTTCTTTTGGGAAATGGTCACCGAGTCTGTCGCTAACACCGTGCATCCCTGCTTCTCTGAAGGCAACGCAGTACTCAAACACCTGGCAAAATTTTTCCGCAGTATCTTCAGGCGGCTACACCTTCGATTTACACTTGAATGCGCCGCAAAAAAACGATTTACCCTTTTACACACTGCCGGTTGGGTGGCCACACTTCTTTTTGCTTTCATCCGTTTGCCTAGCCTGAGCCCTGCCAGCAAACAGTACCCTCATCTCCCAGAAAGCTCCGAGCTATTTCCCCTACGTTGAAGCCATTTTACATCTAGTGGTATGGAGGACGCCGTTGGCTTTAGCCAACAACCTGGCAATAGATACACTAGACAAGCACTTCAACTGTCTCTGTGCGTGCATCTGGGGCATCTTCAAATGATTGTAAGAAAGAAGATTGAGGATCAATGGAGGTTCCAGCACCATAAGGTGTGCGCTCAGGCTTTCCTGGATATTGGCCTCCACGGCTCAGGAAAATTTGATCGTAGGAGACGCAGGATAACTTGAATGCCCAGGCGCGACAAGTATGCTCCCAAATCATACCTGTCACATTAACTCTACACTCTTCACTGCAGAAGAGCATGATGGGGAGCATAAGCTTTCGGGAATTGTTTAATGCATACGAAGTTAAACTACGACAGACCAGGTCAAAGCACGAGTCCATTGTGCACCATGGGTTGTGTCATTTCAAACTACTGGTGCAATTCTGCAGCATTCCTTAACCACGAAAATAAGACGCTGCCATCCTAGCTAAGGAAGCATCGCAGCAAGACCATCCCCTCGAGCAGGGAAATGCGCGAAAAGCTTCTCTTACAGCCAATATTGCGTGTCTTTCGAGCTTCTGGGGCATTGCCAGTGTTAGTTAGGCCCAGAAAGAATAATATAGCGATAATGTCCCCTATTAAAGTGGCCAAAGAGCTCGAAGTCTTCGAGGCATGTTATTAACAAAGGCGCTTGCGCCTCAGGAACAGAACACGATGCAAACGTGCCCGGAGCAACAGGAGTGCGCCGTGCACGTTTGACGCACTCTTTGTGACTGAGACAAGGACTCATTTAGACACTAAAAATCGTGAAGAGATCTTTAGTGTTGTTGTGAACTTGATTCAGACTAGATCGTACTCCGTCCTGACGCATGCTCGGATGGGGGGTAGTGAAACGCTTGGCTGTGACCTGGTTGGCGGGCAGCCATAGTTACACGGTGCAAGTAAAAAATTTGCAGGCCAACGAAGCCAAAGTAGTGTTTGTTTGTTTCTTATTTGTCAATATTTAACCTGTCAATGCTGGGGGATTGTTGCCCATAGATCTTGAGGCGGCCATCAACCCAGTTAAGTTGCTGCGATGTGCTACCGCCTCGCACAGTATGATGCACTTGTAGACCCACACTTGATTTTTATCTGGCGCTCAAAGGGCTCGACTTAGGGGCCACATGAGCAGCTGAGAGGGTGCCTCGCGCCGTAGCATGTAGTTGAGTGCAAGCGGGAATGCCCTGATCAAGCTGTAGGTGACCATCGCAGAGTGGAGCTTCTTCACAACAAGGACTTTTTATTTAGGTTTTCAGTTCCGTCATTGACGAGGCTAGGTGCTTTCTGCACGCCATCCTCTGCCCGGGCGTTTGCAAACACGGTGGCTTGGCCTGCAACTTGGAAAGGGAATAGTGCAAAACTCGACACACGGCAAAATGGCTTCTGTGTGCCGCATCTGGTCGTGGTTTTTCGATGTTTCGAACCCGAATGATCCCAAGCTGCGCCGGTGGCTTCATCCCACTTGCGCGCTGGCATTTAACGCTGGGTTGGCTCTCGTAGTCGCCGTTGCTGCCTTTTTGGCAGCGCCTTCCGAGTTTCACGAGCTGTGGCTGCAGCGCCAGACTCCTGCAGTCGCTCACTTTGCGCAGCATTTGACAGACTGGGCGACGTCTGTAGGCCTCGTTTCTTCGCCTGCTTTCCAGTGGCTGCGACGAACTGCTGCAGCGCTGCTCCTGCCTCAAGAATTGATGTTTGATCGGAAGCAAGCATTCGCATTGTATACGTGGGATAAGGGTAGCATTGATCCCAAATCTCTGGGAATTTTTCTGGCGGTCTATGTAGCTTTGATGCTTGCCAGTCGACTCTACGAAAAGGGTGCAATGATGCTCTACGACGCGGCTTGGGCGTGCAACTTGTCGCTGGCTCTGACTGCTCTCGGTGAGAGGCTATGCAGCAGCAGACCTTAAGCCACATCTACACAGCACAACTTCCCCTTAGCCTGCGCCATAAGTAAATTTCTTGCTTCACAAGTTGTTGTGCTGGGTGTGCAGCGCTTTGGCTAAACATTCCGCTACTCGTCAGCGCGTGTTCCTGCTGGGTGGCTGTGGGTGAGCTATCTGCATTTTTGGAGGCAGAGGCCACGCGAGCTCCACTTGCTTTAGTTCGTGCTCTGAAAGCATTCAGTAACACTTAGTTCTGAAAGCATTCAGTAATAATTTGTTCTGAAAGCATTCAGTAACACTGAGTTTTCATTGGGAAGCCCGCTGACAGATCAGAGCTTTTCAATGCGTGGATCAGTTGCTCGTGTGCCTCGCAGATCAGCTGCTCTGGTACGTTGACTCTCTCTCTTTTGTAGTTCGCGGCCGCTTTCTCGTTGGCGTTGCCAAATATCTCGCCAACAAAGACACAGTAGGCCGCGCCGCACGTACAAGTCCGCGACAGCTTTGCTGGCGGTCACGCATGAATTGAAAGCTCACCAAGTTGCTAGACACATTTTATGTGCGCCATGGCAGCCGCACTTGGCACTTGAACGCATTAGGTGTTGCAATGTACGTATTTGCTCTTGTGAACTTATGCGTTGCAGCCCTGGACAAAGAAGCTCTTCTCCACGCATCACTTATGGTTCATTCCGTTTACTACTTTCGTGAACCTGAAGTACGCAGATGGGCACAGCCCCTGTTGTCTGTCGGTGTCGATGTTTCTGTCGCTAATGTGCGTCCTGGGAAGCCGCTGCTGCACGCCTTACGCGGTCTGCCATCCCGAGCCATCGACACGCAGCAAAGCCGAAGATTCTCGCCGCGATGTCAAACCTGAGAAGTCCTCAACGGACGTGTTGAACGTAAATGTCTCATGGCGTTGTTGGGCAGATGTGACGCATCATCTGCCATTCCTTGGAATGTTTGACGACAAGCCGTGGTACATGTTTGTGGTGTGGAACCAGCTGATATGGGGCCTTGGGAATTGCTTCCTCTTTGGCTTGTTCCTAACTGCCTCAAACCTCCTCAGACACTAATAGCAGGGCAACAGCTACGCTGAGATGCTAAGAAGGACCCAACCCTTGCAAACTCAATGACGCTTTCTTTTTAACTTGGCAAGCGAGTGGCGCGAAACGTGCTTCGCTAACTTCTAACTGCGTCTTGCCGCCTAGCGAATGATGCGAAAACAACCCTTAAGCTCGGAAGCCGACAATGTCGCTTCTTTTCAATTCATTGGCAACGCGCGCGCTGACTTGACATGCGAAGGCGCAAAGTTTTGGCAATCGGGATTCTGTTATGTCAGAGGCTCCAGTACGAAGCGTGCTGTCCTGTTCAAGGTGCAAAAGTTTCCTGCGTCTTCTACGTCTGTAGAGCGCAGGGAATCAAAAGCATTAGCTACTTTCTCGGCTGGTCTCCCGAGCTACGTTCTATGCAGCCACTGCTTCCTCCAGCCGAATAGCACCAGTCCTAGTGCGGAACGCTGGAGGCGGCACGACATGCCACTGCAGTTGGAATTTCACAATCTTCCCAAAACAGGGGAATCGCTCAAACTCGCCCCACGAATAAGCGACCCCAATCCCTGGCACAGCCCAGCGCAGCTGTGGGACTTTCTGCGGTTGCTGTGCTGTCGCACATGCGCATCTGTGTATATTCGCATGTAGGATGCCTATGTGCCCCGGGTAATCACTTTTCAGCGAGAAAAACGATCTTATCCCCGGGTATGTCGAAATTTTTGTCGAGGAAAGCAGCAATGGTTTCCTCCACGTCGCCCTGCGTAAGAATCCACACACAAGCACCGGCGCATTGCCCGCTCCTCAAACAAATATCCGTGGCCGAAAGCAGAAGCCAGCTAACATGCGAATCAGTAGTGGTCACTGTCCTCTAGAACTGTGCATGCGTTCACGCTACACTTGAATTCAGAAGACCTATTAGATGTTTCAACAAAGACCCACTTGAATCTCGACAAATGGCATTTGTCCGGGCTGCCCCTTCTGAAATGAAGCGCCGCAAGCAAAGTGTTTGCTCGCAAGCTTCGCCGCCTGCTCCTGCTTGACGCCTGAGACATTGCATTAGACCGTGCGAAAATCGAGGGCTTCGTGCCTCTAATGTGTGCATAATAATGAAACAAGAGTATTCCATCAACGCATTAGTTAATGTTGAAGGCACGAATGAAGTATAAATGCGAGTAAAACGCTACACTTAGCTCGGCGGCGCACCGAAATGCTCAAGGCCCCATACGCAAGTTGAACACTTGCCCCTTCGCTTCGCCTGTTTCTGAACAGTCACGACTTTCTGAAGCAGAGCCCACAACAGCCACAGAACACTGGGGACTCTGAGCTCCCTTTGCAGCAAGAATAACACTAAGGCTAACCTAACAGCCGTGCTGGTGGATCAACATGAGTGTTCGAGTCACCAGCACTTGGCTGCAAGCGCAGTCCCGCAGTGGACAGAGCGGCTGTGCGTGGGGAATGACTGAAAGTGGAAACTTTTAATGTTAATTAAAATGCTGTGCTTACCGGCTTCGCCCCGTCCTTTTTCGCACCCCCTCTTTTTGCTTCGGTGATGGCAGTCTTCTCCTGCAACTCGTCGGTGAGCTGCTGCTCGTGTTCGTTTTGTTGCACCACTGAGGCTTGAGTTGGGTCCTTCCCGTCCTTCTTTTGCTTTGAGCAAGCGGCGCCCGAGAACTCGCAGTACTCAAATGGCATACCGCAAGCTGAACAGAAGGCGGAAAAACAAGTACACACAACCTTCCCTTGGGTTCAGAGGACGGTAGAGAAGAACAGGTGGTGTTTCTTCGAAAATCGCGAGCAGCGACTGCATAAATCCTCTGCAGCTCACGCTCATGGACCGTGGGCCCTAGATGCAGCTTACTTGGGCAGTATTCAACTTTTCGCGGGCCTGTCATAGGTGGCTGCCGGTCGTGCTCCCAGCAACTGCTGGAAGTTTCGGAGCCGGCGTGTTGACCCACAGCAGGGGGATTGGAGGATGCGTCAGCTGCTTCCGAGTCATCCTGATTTGATGTTAGCTCATTCTCCGGCATCCGCTTCATTGATTGACCGTTTGTATCCCCGCCATCAATTCGGCCGACGCTGTTGTGGCCGTTGCTAGAATTCATCTTTGTGTGGGTGAGCCGTGCTGACGGAACGGCAAAGCATTAATCCTTACACGGTGTAATTACAATCATATAATGGCTTTTGCAGGTTGTTTGCATTATACTTTGGGCCTGTCGCAAATGGCCCTGCCGAAAGCAGCAGCGGCGCCAGTGCATGCCTGTAATTATGCGGAACAACAACTCAAGTAATCGAACCAGACCGTCTAAACCGTAATTTTTCTTTGCTGATCAGTGCCTGCACCTTAAGTACCTCTTTCAGTGATTCAATATGAGCTACGTTGCACCGAGTTTCTCAAGGCTTCCTGGTGGCAACTAACTCACCCAGTGCCCTGCCCGCCTGCCGGCTACCGCAGGCCGTTCTTTCGGGATTACGCGGCGTGCAACATTATTATTGATGAATAATGATGCGATTTTATTTTTTCCCTTTTTGAGTGCATGGGTTACCTAACCAGGCCCGTTTGTCCCGTGGACTCTTTCTGTCACTGAGGTTGGTCTCCTGTTTGCGCGGGCAAGTAGCTGTCAACGGAACCAGTGCTTCAGTTCGGCAGTTCTGAGGATCTGTAGACGCAATATTTACAGACATCCTTCTGTTTTTATCTGAGACTTTTTCGCGAAACAAACAGGTTCACGTGACGTTGATCCGTGTGCGGCGCTCTCTTGAATCCCTGTAAGAACGGCCACACACAGCTTGGATGCGTCCATCTGCCTTCGGCGGCGTTCATTTGGCCTGATATCTTTTCTATTTGCTCGGAAAAACAATTTTTCAGTTCCGCATACACGTGCAGTTGAGTGGGGCTCTTACTGCCACAGTTGCATCTGTGGGATCATAGGGCTTCTGCAGACTTTTCTGTCTCACAGCGTCCGTGGAAAGTCGAAGCCATTCACTTACACTGCAGCAGACCCGGCTTTTGCTGCATTCTGCACGCTTCGAGTCTGCCTGGGGGCTAGCGGGTCTGTTTACCGCTGCCGGAGAACCGATGCTGACACTCGAGCGGAGGGCGACGACACTAAGGACGAAAACACGCGTCGATGCGGCCACAGGTGCTCCGGTGAAGTGATTTGATTCCGGGGAGTCTATTTGACACCGAGTGAGCTGCTGCAAACGCATCGAAGATGGGGGAAGCCGCGAGTCGTTTCACCTCACCAGCACCTCTGAATCCTCAGAAGCTGACGCCGAAGCAGCTGCAGCAGCTGCTAAGCCACTTTGGCCTTAATGAGGTGAGACAGTGGCCTGAGCGCACCGCCCATAGAGGGAGGCACTGAGCAAAGGAAGACCCACAGGCACTGACGCTTGCTGTGCTGTGAAGGTTTTATATGCCTTTTTACTGCTTCTGTTTTTGCTGCAGCTGTCGCCGTCGAAGGCACGCATCTCTTTGCTCGGCTTTGTCCGAGCTTTCCCTGGAGTACTACAGGGCCACGCGATGCTGCTGCTGCCGACGTTGAAGGAAATAGCGCGGCAGCAGCAGGTGCACCCTCACCCCCATGGGGTGTCCTTTGCCATTCTAAGCAACAGCAGCTTGGCGCCTGACAGCGGCGTTTCGACAAGCATTATGGGCAATCGCTGCACCCGCGCCAACAAGAAGCAGCTGGAGGCCCTGAAGACAGCAAACAGCATTGCCTTGCAGGAAGTCATTGACTCTATCTCTTCCTGCTGCTCAGGAGAAGCTCCGGAGACGGAAGTGCTTCTTACTGAGAGAATGCTGGGGAGGATAGCCAGGAGCTTCCAGCCCCGCAGTCTGCTGACGGAGGAAAATGAGCATGTCCGTCATTCTCTGGAGTCCATTGGGGGTTTTTCTCTTGATCCTCGGTAGGTCTAGAGGCTCTTTGTTGCCATCGCGTCAGTGGGTTCCTTTATAATATATATAAATATATAAATATGTATTTATTTATATAAATATATATGTATATATATTTATATATATTATTGTTTCTGTGCGTGGTTCCTGCGTACGTCGCTTCGAAATATATGATTGGCTGGGCTCTGAGTGCTTAACTGGTGCGGTTGTCTGTACATGTGGCTCGCCTGTCTCATTTTTTGTGTGCAGAAGAGGATCCTTACAACGCAGCGCGAGCGGCAGCGTCAGCAGCAGCAGCAGCCGCCGGAGTATCACGTATGTATCGTTGGGCTGCAGCACGCGCGCTTGTGTTGCACTAATGCAAATACTGCAGTACGGTTATCTGGAAATGATGTATTTGATAAACCCTAAAAGCCCGGTCTTCCAGGACAAAGTGGCTCGCACGACCAGCGGCTTGAGTTGCAACCAAGCCCAAGAAATACAGAGCAAGGGTGTTAATGCCCGTGGTGTCCACACGGCTTCGGCGTGGGATGCGGCGCCTGCGCTGAAGTTGATGTTCCCGGAGGAGTTGAACTTCACGTTTGCCGTGAGAGCAATGGCTTCCGCTTTTGCAGAGGCCATTGCTCCCACAGGTGTTCACGCCGCCACTTCCACCGCAGCTGCAGTGGCTGCTGCGGCCGTGGCAGTAACGCAGATGCCTGGGCAGTGCTCTGTGGGCAATGGCACCGGCAGTGGCACCCGCAGAGGGACTAGTAGCACAGAGCTGGCTGCCCAAGCTTCTGGAGCTATTCTTCATGCCAGTTCAGGAACCATCGGCAGTGGTGGCCTGCGCAATGAGGTCTTCGCCGTGCTCTCGTGGATCAGGGCGGCCTTGCCGGTGCTTCCGGCGCTGTGCACTCTTGGAGTTGCAGCGCACCTGCTGGGCGATACTGTGTTCGACGGCCAGCCGCAGCCGGAGAGAAATGATTCTAGCGCGATAGATGTGCAGTATACTGTAAGCACGCCTCGATAGCCTCGCTTTCGACGTTGCGACAGGCGCATTGTGCCCATCTGCTGAGCTGTTAACGATTCTGCACGGAGGCTGGTACTGAACAGAAAATCCGTAGACTTTGTTTCAACTGTATTTGATTCAGGTTTACGCAGCTCGTCGTAAACATGAAGGCCATTCATCGGTTAAGGAGTCGACTAAGGGTACAGCGGACTCAAGCTCATCTGGGCGGGGGGTGTCGAAGACTCCGGCATGGAAACGCACCACCAGCGCAGAGGCGATATCTGAGGAAACGAAGGGCTGGCACGGCCAAGGAACGCTAGATGCGAGGAGCAGATGCTTCACTGACGAGCATGCCTTCGTGGTACGTAGATTGAGGGAAACAGCGATTTTGTACATGTCTCCCCCCAATAGATATGTAGTCCCCCCGTAGGCCACCCCCAGTTTAGATGCACATATCAGGGGTATGGTCTTCACATTCATACAAGTATTCTAAAGCACATGTTACTGTGCAACGGTTATTCGAGGCTATCTGCATGCTGCACGCACGTTTTGTATCGTCCGCAGCTGCGCATGACGTCGACCATGTTCCCTTTTCCCCCAAAGGCTCCGTGGACGTGCCTTTATGCATCGTGGAAGCACGGCAAGTTGGCACTGAAGGGCGTACATGCTCGCTTTCTACCATTTAGAAACTACAAGTGGCAGCTATTTATGTAGCTTGTGTTGCACCTGGAAGGGCGTTGTCGTTTATTGAGAGTTTGATGCATGGTGTTTGCGGGCTCAGGGACAAGCTTCAGTAGACTCTGCGCAAATTGTTTCTTCTACTCTGCTCCAATGGTGGCCGTTGTCAAAACAGAAGAGGGCCAGGTGCTTGGTGCAATCATTTCAAGGTACGGGAATGCAGTGCAGCTGTACCCGCAGCATCGGGACTAGCTTCCATATTGTGTCTTATAAAGTGCGGAGGGCAGTAATAGGACAGGAAACACGCAAACAGTGATTTGATTTTGTTTTGGGCTGTTGGTCTCTGCAAAAGGTGTGATGCCTCTGGTCGGTGGCCGTGCTCATGTGAATTGCCGCTCAGCGAACTGAAAGAAGGAGGGCACAACTTCTTTGGCGACGATAACACGTGTCTCTTCTCGCTGGAGCCGCAGTTGAATGTCCTTAGGTAGGAAATACACTTTTAGTGGCTACATCGGTGGAACTGGATTGGACTAAGTGTTACCGTAGACGAGGCGTCGCTCCAGATTAGCCATGCTCTTCTCGGTGTATCTGCTTTTTTTTTGCAGAACGAGCGGCTTGGGAAGGAACTTTGTCTATCTAAATACGAAAAACAAATTTCATCCCATCGGTTTGGGCTTTGGAGGCCAAGTTGGTGCATTCCGCTTCTGGATTGGGGACGGTGCGCTTGCTCGTCTAGCCACAGGGGACGCGTGCACTAAACAGGAGAATTACTCTATTTAGAGCACGCTAAGGGGATGTAGCTTTCTCCATTGCTCTGTGTGAGTAGAAATACTGTTAGCTTTTGTGCGCTCTTGTGGAACGGCAGAAATGAAGGATTGCTACATTACCAAGAGCGACTGCACGTATTCTCCGGGCCGAATGCTACAAACGATGAACGAGCCAATTCCACAGGGGCCTGATCCACTCGATAGCCTCTCTGGGCTCACCACAACGGTTGAAGGCGCCACTGCGACTTCCTCCTCATCAAGGCCGAGAGCAGATGCTTCCGTTTCACCGCCATCTGCTGAAGGTAGTCTCACGGCCAATTTCCTGGTACCTCTCAATGTTAAGGAACTAGAAATTTGGGGTACTGGAGATGCCAGCACCCTGGAACAGCAACAGCACCTCCTGAAGCAACAGGAAAAGGTATGATTTCCAGTCATTTCATCATTGCATGTGCTCTTCAGTGAGCTCTGGCGGTATCGGCACAGCCTGCTGAATGTTTTATCGCGTGCAAGTGCTTACGGGCAGCTTCAACACGCTTTGTGCATGTATGATTCGCAGCTGCGGCAGGAACGCCGCCAGGTGGACAAGGGTCGGCTCTTAGATAGTAACTTTGACAGAGAATTTCTGTTGGGTGGCACTTTCAGCCGTGCAAAGGGCCCAGAAGCACCGGCTGTCTAGTGGAGGCGGAGGACAGTTTCATCCCCCAGTGCCAGTCTAGTCCGTATCGCTCTGTTGGCGATGGCGGATCCGCGGTAACCAGCTCGTGAAGGCCACATCGTTTGCGCGTTGAACAGCGCCCAGAGGCGCTGCAAGAGTAGAGCTAGAGCAATTCTATGCACACGATTGAGTTCCCCGCTTCGAAGCGACGCTGAGCACAACTTTGACGCCTCCGGCTTCCGTTCTGTGGTTGCAGTGCCGCAAAGGCTAACGAGTACAGGAGTAGCACAAATTTAGTTAGTAGCATCGCACTAATTCCACTGGGATATGTGCACGCCATCTGCCTGGCTAGCCTACACTTGACAGTACGGAACGGGACTGCGCGATGGCGCATCGACGGTCCAGTGTTTTGTTACGTTTTTCACGCTCCCAACTGATCAGCGGTCACCACGCCGTGTGCAAACCCACCCACCCTGCACTGTTCTACTTTCCATAGCGAAGGCCTAGCAACTTAGCGGCCGTACACTGAAGTGCACACTGCGCTACGCAGAGGCATTCTGAAGTATCGCCTGCAGAGCCTTAAGACTGTCTCTCAGTTATTCTATGCTGCCGCCGTTGAGCAGCCTGCCTGACCTCTAGATGACCCAAGCCACGAGGATATTGGAAGGCTACATTTTCTACTGTAATCTCTGCTTGGCTGGGAGGGTACTACAGCATGCTCCTGTGAGCCACGTGCCTTCCTGCCACAGGGTACATAAGAGTACGTACGGCGAGAACCCTCGAAAATATTCACACAGGAAGTTGGATGCAGTCTGTTGCTTCACAGCAGCAGGGAACGCCGCTGCATCGCGGCGCGTTTGCTGATCTACTTTGTGCCACATAAGCACTGCAAAACTGGGAACGTAGCCCAGCGTCCAAATGCAGTGCTCATACCCTAGCACGTTACGATTGGCCTCCCCAGAAGGTGTATGCTGCTAATGAGTGCGGAGACTTCAAGCCAGCAGTGCGTACTTCCTCCTCGGAACATTCTGTACCCTCTTAGTACGCCTGAAGCAGAAAAAACTCAGATCACATCCTCCACAGCGTGAAGACACAACCTCAGGTGAGCATGCACGCGGAGACGTGGGACGTGCTTTCACCAGCCCACTCACCGCACAGTCATCTTCCTGCGCTGCGACAAAGTCAACCTTCGCCTTATGGCTCTCGTCTTCTTGAGCCTCAGGTCCTTGGGCTTATGCTTGCACCCCTTGAAAAACTTTTTGGCTTCTTCCCTCCTCTTCTGGTTGTAAACAGTCAAAACGCGGGCGATGCCCTTCCGAACTTGTGTGATTTTTGCGAGCTTTGCTGGAGTCGCACCCGTCACTTTTGCGACTCGCAGCAGAGAGAGCTCCTTCTTGAGGTCCTCTAGCTGTTTCTGAAGGTCTTTCGGGGCCTTCTGCCTCAGTTCGTGCGCCGTGATGCCAACCTGCAACAGGCGCGAAGTCACATAAACAGCAACCGTCATGTCCCAGGCACAGCCTCTCTGCCGCAGTGTCAAATGCCAAACAAAGCAAGGAGCAGCCACGAAGAGGCAATAGCGGGGATGGATCGAGCAGTGCATCAGCCACCCGCCCCACAGCGGTTTGGCGTTTCCACGAGGTGCCCCCAGACTCATAACCAAATCATGTTGCAAAATAAATGAGTGGAGCTCCCACATAAAGCATCTAAGGGAGAACCAACCCCATGCGCCGTGCAGGGAATCAATGCCTAGCAGAAGTGCTCCAAGCAGCTGTGGAAGACCCCTACAGTGATGTACTCTGGGGAAACCCCTATATTCCCCAGCACTAATGTTGAGGAACACTCCAACCAATTTTCATGTGTTCACCCAATTCCAAAATCTGCTGGGGACCTCCTCTTCCAGGCCACTTCTTCTCTGTAGCATGTTTTTTACGGGTGTTGCTCACCATCTTGATGTGTGGGGAGGAACCGAGACAGGCCGAAATTCAGATATAAGGGCAGTATCCCCTTGGAAAGCACTTCCCCTATTCCACAGCCTGCAGTAGATGCGCTATTAGATGTTTCCGCACGACCGAACATGAGAGCTGCAGCCCCGCCGTGGACTGCTTGGTCTCCCCGCAGCGGCAGCAGCCTCAATCAAACAAAGAAGCACTGCGCCCTCTACTGCGAATATCTAGGAAATCCCTGAATGCGCGGTAACTTTATGAATGTTAAAAATGAACAACTAGGAAATACCGGAAGCATTGTCGGAAGTATACATGCAAGAGCTTTGGAGGCAAGGCCAAGAATGTGCTGGGAAAGTGCCTATTGACTGTTAGCTTCTACGGCAGCCTGTGCTGCATGAAGTCCCATGACGAACTAGTACCTTTTATAGCTTTTATATATGCCGTGCAGGTATTTTGAGTGGGTGCACCTCCCCATTTGCAGTTTTATCATAACATTTTGCACCTCACCGTTTACTCGGGACATCGCTCACTTGCGCTCAAGTAATTCGCTACCGCTCTGCAGTCTAGATAAACACCACTACTGTAATGCCATAATTGTGGCTTGGTGGCACTCGTGTATTAAGTAGGTTTCTCAGAAGGGTAAAGGCCCGGAGGGAACCGATCAGCGCAGGATATTCGAGTATGGACTAATTGTGCGGCAAGCTTACCGTACAAGTTCGTTACCTACGACGGAGACAGCTTGCATCAAAAATAGTGGGACTACACTTAAACCAAAATTCCACTCTACGGATCACTCTGGAACTTCGGCTGCCTTAGGCACCAAACTACCTGAGAATACCTTGCTTCCGCCTACAGCCAGGCAACTCTAGGGTTTAGGGATTCGATCAAGGAAAGGCCCTCCAGAGAAAGTGTCTTAGTTGTGTGTTTGTGCCTGCCCGCCCAAATACCTCCTGGCATACACGACCGACATTCTCGCTAGTGCGGCCTTGCACATGTGCATGCACGGCAGCTATGCGGTCTTGGCCACAAGAAGGCACAAAGGGAGTCACCACTCCAACATGTTTTGACTTGGAAGCTCTCGGCTGATATGAAGCCTCTCAGGTAGGGAAGAGCCACTGAATTCCATACTGGCCACCCAGGGAGAGTGGCAAAAAGCCGTTAGAACGTTACGTTTTTTGACTAGGTTTTTTCTGTTGCTACACTGTTTGTTGGCCGTTGTTGAGGTGGTGCGTAGCCGTAGACACCTCTAAGTCAGTTCTACCAGAATCACAGTCAAAGGTGCCGGCCTCTACTACTGTAATATAACGCATGCTGGTCTCGTCTCAACGGTGTTTGAGAACGCTTGTTATCAACGTAATTCCTTCGCTATTGTTGGCGCAAATAACTGTATGGACGGGACAGCACTCACACAGTTCAGGCTCGCAGGAGTGATGCAGTGCACATTGCTGCGCGACATCGAATTGTGGTGAGTGTCAGCTTAGATCTGGAGTTGCGTTTGTGAAAAATTTTATGCATGCACGTATGCTTCTCTTCCACGGTGAGGAGTTAAAGAGAGGATTACAAACCTGCGCAGCGTTGCAGTTCTCCAGCGACCTTCGGACAAAGTCACTGGATAAGGGAGATATACGCACAGTGGCTCCTCCTGACATTTCACTTCCAGTGCTGCCTGTGGTCCGAAAGAAAGTCTCACGCTGACTGTTACAAAGTGCGCTCATATATGAGCAAGTCCTACGCTTATGCAATGCGATGCGTACTCCTTTCGAATGAAGCGTGCTACGACAGTCTAGTCGTCCTAATTCTCCCTAGTGCTTTGGCAATTAGCACGCGCTCCACGCAAAAACACTGGATTTCAGCAGTGCCTACTCATTCGCCGCTTAGGCTGCGTTGCTAGCGGGTCTGCACGCGTAACAACACTGGGCAACTTGTGGTGGGTTGCATGTGACGTCAGAGAAGCCTCATTTGCTGCAGTTTCAATCGAAAGCAAATTGATTGAAGAGCAGAGGCTTTGTTTTCAGTTTTAACTTCAGGATAGCATAGGCCCACGAGAATCAGCTCTTTGTTGCAATTACTCTGCTGCAAAGTAAAAAGAACGGAAACCGTCCACAAGCGGCAGCAAGCCTCATGCGAAACCCGCTTGGCTGAATGGTTCAAAGTGACAGGACGCAGTGCTCTGTGTGCAGCAAATCCTGCCTTTAAAGATCACCCCACAAGAGAACGGCCATACCACGCTGCACCCACAGGGCGGGTGGGTATTGTTCGCTAGCGGGAAGGTCTACAAAAGCTACAAGGTCCCTGAGGGAAAACCAATCACAGGTAAATTAGCAAACAACTTCTAGCGGTGTGCATATCTCTCCACATCAGTGCAGCCATGCGTTCTGTTTAGCTGTTTAGCTGAGTGATATGCGCTTACTTGCGGGCCCTATTCAAAAACAGCGGGGTCGAAATGTACTTTTGCCCATCTTCTTTGAACTTGCACCCTTCTCCTTTGTGGTACCAACGCATGACCATCGGCGGCAAACTTGACGCAATCGTGTCAGCGACGTCCAAACACTGAGGCGCATTTCACAGCAACATCAACAATCCTTAGGCATGGGGGAAGTCGTGTGAAGGCACTGAAAACTGAATCGTTAAACCTATTGTAGTTCCATAAGGTCAGCGAACCTTTTCACTTGCGTTCCACGCTGCACCTTCTACGGTTAACCCAGTGATAATAAAGGACTGGTCATCTTTAGCTTCGACAGAACCAACGAGAACCTCCACGGCCAAATCATCAAGTGACCACCCCTTAGCTTGGGCGACCGCTTGGCGGGTCGCTGTGAGGTAGGCTGACGGGAAAAACAGGCCTCCAAGCCAAATTCTCCATTGAGACAGCTCTCCATCGTCACGCTGTCGTGAAAGTAAGTTCATAGCTGCCTCGATCTGCTTGTCGTTTCCTTCTGCACCGAATTCCCGAGACACCATCGCTAGTTGTGCTAAACGACGGCTAAAATCCTCGAGCCACTCCTTCACAGTCAGTTCTTGAGAAGAGACATAAACCTGACTCCACTCCCCTGGAACTTTCGATGAAGATATCAGCGTTGCCAACTCACGAAGAGAGTTGGTTATTTTCAGTTCACCTTTGCAGACGAGCAGCAGCTCTCCCAAAGATTCGCGAATCAGCATACACAGCCTGAAGGAAAGGAAACCCACGACCATAGCAACGTCGCAAATCTTCTTGTGTACTTACTCGTTAAAGGAGCACCGCCATATCTAACCTGCATATAAGGTGCTGAACAAACACTATTGAGAAAGCAAGGGCCTACCTTGCACCAACTGCTAGTTCACGCTCAAAGCAACGGAACATTGGATTTTGCACCATCGTATCAGTCCGTTGTAAGACGGGAAGTTTTTCTGGCAAAGTAGCTAGGCAAGCTTGTACGACGGGGATGAGCAAAGTGAGCCACGACGTCGCTTTCGGAGCCTCATCAGGTTCTTTTTCATCGCTTATTGCCGCAACACTCTTTTGGCGTTTGAGACCCTTCATAATGCTCTCTGAGATAGAGTGGAAGTCTAGTGACTCTTCCTTGCCGCGTAGCAGCAAAGTGGACCAATTGGCAATGCAGGCATGCGCCTGCCTGGAAGCCAACAGCCACTCAGCGCGCGAATTGAAGCCGATCCATGCTGGCATGTCCCGCGGCGGTAGTGAGTCAACCCATTCAAGGTACTGTTCGTGTGTCTTGAAGAGCTCAGCTGGGGCTCGCAACAATTCTGCTTCCGAATCCTCCACGTCCTTCCCCAGGTTCGGCATATTGAGGCAGAAATCAGATTCAAACGCCTCTGGACGGAACAAGTAGTCCACGAACGACCGCAGGACCCTGATACAAGTGACAACGCATTTCGCTCCAGCATCATAAACGGAAGACAGAGCTAAACTTTCAAATGACACTGAGCACCAGTCCACTGTGAAGTCGCTGAGCGTCAAAGATGTTGCTTGAGGCATTAAGCAGGAGCATGCACTTACCGCTCATCAACAGCATTGTCCAGTCGTCCCCCATAGCACACTTGTGCAATGAGTGTTCGTATTGCAGTCCAAGGAAGTCGCTCTGGAGCTACATGGTCGGAGAGAGTATCACCACGCTGTGCAGCGGTGGCAAGCCAAGAGTCTACTATGCTCAATGCACATTTCTGATCAGCCTCAGAGAACTCATAAAGCTTGCACCAGCCGACAGGTGCATATCTTCGCCTTTCCAGTATAATAGCATGCAGGAAAGCTAGAAGAAACTGCAAGCGGCAACGGGCTGCGGCGGGAGGCTGGACAGGTTGCGGTTGAGCACTGCTTCGACTAGATACTCCACGGGTACCACTAGCACCGAAGAGCATCGCGTACGACCTGTACAAGGATGCCTTGATGCCAAGTGGTGGCTCGAACACAAAGGTGCAAGACGCTCTAACCAGCGTGGCGGGAACCTTCGGATTGTACTCCATGGTGAGGAACAGGCGGAAGTTCGCGTGTGCCTGGCCACGATGCAGGTTTGTCTCCAAATCCTGGAGCCATTTGAGAGAAAGATGGACGTTCTTGCATAAAACCCAAGTGCCCTGTCGAGTTGCCTTGGCAATGGCTTTATCTGCAAGCTCAAACCCTTCCTTGCTGCCCATTGCCACGGAGCTGATGGGTTGCTGGACAGCGGAGGCCAGGTGAGTAATTAGACTACTTGGATCAGAGCCAGGAGATAAGACGAATAAAACTGGAGAAGTACTGCTTGCCTGCTTCTCAACAACCTCTTTAAGCAGGTCTTGCGTCAGTTCGGGGACGGAAAGGAAATTCTCTCCAAGAACACCTTCGCATAGCTCAATTAGAACACAAGTCACACGGTCTGGTCTCAAGGCCCTTAATACAAGTAGCTCCCGAAGTAGATTGATCCACTCTCCGAGAGTCATAGAGCGCTGACTGCCAATCTTCTTGTCTGCCAACGGATGTGGCTCAGCAGTGAAAATGCCACGAGGAATGCTTGTTTCAGGGGCAGAAGACCGCAACAACGCAATCCATTCAGACTCATGCGTTGTCATGTGGTCTTGAAGGCCAGAAAAGCATGGAAGCGCCAGCAATTTCTGTAGCGCCTTCATTTGCTCAGCGGTCAATTCCCCATGAAGAGTATTTGTCCATGAAACCGTCTGAGACCCCTGATCCTCTACGAACCCCTGTAAAAGGAGCTGAAGCTCTGGCAATTCCAGGGGCAGGCCAAGATCCAGCTCAGTCCTAATGTAACATAGCTGCAACGCAAACACTAGTCTATCATAATACCCCAAGCCATAGGCTACGCGCTGGAATGTTGTTGAGAAAAGACCGGACAAAAGGACAGCCAGCCTCTCCGCGTAATCTGTCTTCTTCAAATCGTTCAAGCCTGCAGCTCCTGTTAGGGTTTCATGCAATATGCCTGCGACCAGACACAACTCAGTTTTAGAAGGTAAATGATACATACGCTGCAGCGAAACCCTCATTCTAGGCGAGCAAAAGCCAATGATATGATAAACGTACCTAGGAAGAAGCGAAGGTCGTACTGATAAACGGGTGAAACGCATGAGAGGTTGAGAAGTGTGAAATATATACGGCCTGCCGCGAGAGCCCACGGCAAATACATATTGCTAGTCTGCACGACCTCCGCCATTATTTCCTCAGTGTGGGCGGCCTCAGTCGCGACTTCTGCCGCTTGCCTCTTTAGCATTTCCATGGATGACATCACGGAATCATCATCCAAAATGTTTCCCTTCACATTTGAGAGAGCAAGAAGCAGCGAATCCTCTAGCTCGCGTATTTTAACTTTGAATTCTCCCTGAAGCTTGAGCATATCTGACCGCTTTTTGTCTATATCTGATCTCTCGCTCTTCAGAATAAGGTTTAAACACTGGTTTACGAGAGAGGACGGTGTTAAAGTAAAATTAATCATTGTAACGCGGCTGCAGAGGTCGGGTGTGAACTGTGCTGTAGGGTCTCGCGTCGCAAGATACATAGAGAAGGCAGGAGATAAGTCGATTTCGGAGTCACCAACAGTGATCAGGACACGGCCGCCGAGTTTGTGTGTTTCTCTGTTGAGGACAGGGTTCAGGATCGGGTCTACCTTCTCAACATCCTGAATCACCAAGGTAGAACCAAACCGCAAACTGCTCTCCAGAACCTTGAGGAAGTTTCCATCCAAAAAAGACGTCTTGGACAACTTGTTTGAGGACAAGAAAGAAGTCAAAAAGTTAATTGCCTGACCAGCAGGGTCAATGATAAGAGGATAGCGCAAGAATCGTTTCAGGATAATTGCGTTTTGAACTGAAAGGTCATCTGGCGGGAGAGAATGAGCAGCCCACTGAAGCCTCTCCGAAGGTGTTGAAAGGAAGTCGACAAAAGAAAGGTCGGCGCGGCAACGAATGCACTCCCTTTGGAGCACTGCCCTCCACTCTTCAAGTAACCGATTCCGATCCGCGTATTCAAAGAAGCCAAGATACGCACAGAAAGCAGCTGCAAGCAAACTGTCTCCGATAAATGTCTGAGTAGCCAGTTTCAGTTGCTCTAACTGTTCAAACCACCGACTCTTTTCCGACCCCAAGTTCTCCAATAGTGACATTGAGCGCGCGCATTTCTTCTGGACCTCATCCATCTCTCGCTTTATGCTTTGTACCTGACTAATCAGCTGAGCATAGTCTTGCTTGTACTGCTGCAATTTGCCTTCCAGCTGAGTAATAAGGGACTGCTGCTCCTGTAAATTCGCCTCGTTTTCCTGTGCCTCAGTTTCCAACTGAGCGATTTCAGTCTGCAGTGGCTCTACTTGCTCGCTAATCAAAACAAATTTCACGCTGCTTTCAACCCACTGGGCCAGCGGTCCTGCTGCGCGAGAGGCCTTGTTGATCCGCTCAATATCCCAGTCGCCAGTCAGAAACTTCGTTTGGATTCTTCGCCGAGTAGCCGAGCTAACAGATGTGCAGTCAAAGTTAAGAATCTGAGCACAAAAGCATGAAAAAAACCCGAAGAATCGACCTGATGAGGCGTAACAAGCATCGTAGGCGAAGCAACGCGACCACGAAACAATCGCACACTGAATTTGAGTGTACCTTAGAAATGAAGTCTGTGGCTTTCAAAATCTTTCTTGCATCTTCCCAAGAAACAGGCTTTTCTCCAGCATCTGTGATTAGCACTGCGACAGCTTCCACCGCAACCTTTGCCATTGCTGGAGGGTTAGCCATGCTTTTTAGTTCATCAAGGCTCTTCTTTGGGATGTTTGTAACGGCCTCTGCAGCTTCCTTGAGTAGTGGCTCCACCTCGCTAAGCTGAGCCTCTACTGCCTCTCTACGTTCCTTGATGATACCAGTCTGTTCATCGAGCTTGCGCGCTAGGACTTCCGCTCCCTTCTTTTTGTTTTCAGCTTCTGCCTGCTGGTTTATCATCTGTTGCATTTTCTTTTCAGCTTCTTCGTTCTTCTCTGCGAGAACTGCACCTTTTTCTGTCAGTTCCGCTCTCATCTCCCCAACCTGCCGTTCTACCTGTGCTAGGGTTTGCAAACCAGCTTGTAGATGGTGCTGTTGCTCTCCACTTGCGTCGCTCTTCTCTGCAACAAGCCCGCGGAAATGGTGCAAGAAATCAAGGAAGTCACGCGGTGTCATATAGTTTGACTTGCGGCCGCTTTTGGAAAGAACAGCGTTACTTTTAGCTACAGCATGTTGGAACGACACAATTGCAGTAGCCAGCCTGCTGCGTCGCGCAAGATCATCCCCATCGAGCGCCATTTCTTCTTCTGCCTTATCAACAGTCTCCTTCAAAATGTTGCTAATTGGCTTTGCACCAATAATAGCTTCTGGTGTAAAGCTGTCTGGCAAGAGCTCAATTGAGTCAGTGAACTCGAACGCCACTTGCTCCATTGCAGGCTGAGCCCAGTCTCCAAACCAGTCGATTACGCATCTGTTAAACAGAGCGGGGGAGGTTGCTTGACGATTGTGGAAGTCGGGGTTCGCCGGGTTCATTGTAAAAATGATGTGCAGATTCCTCTGCACCTGCTTCGTAAAACGGGTAAACAGCTCTGAAGACTCCCCACTACCTAGATAGTCGCTCCCATACGCTGCCTTGCATTCATTGATTAGAGCCGTGTATTCGTCGCCTTCAAAGAGCCCTGGTACTTCGCCTGCAACGCGAAAGCAAAAACTTCAAACTGGGGACTCAATACGGGATGCTCTAGCGTTTTCAATGCAGCAAGTAGCATCTACGGTGGCCGCACATGTCAGCGCCAGAAGCGCCTTACGAGACCGCATGAAACTTCGGCCTCCCACCTGATGCCAGAAGAGCATTCATTCTCTCCAAAAACGCTGGACCTAGAGCGTTGGATTCATCAATAACGAATGCGATTTTCTCATCTTTCAGAGCGGCTCGTTTCATTACAACTCGGAGGTCTTGTTCGAATGATGCTGTGTTGTAATTCCTGCCGGCCTTTATTTGGAAGATGCTCAGACCATTCATCCACGCGACAAACTTTGTTAGAATCGTCTTCCCTGCTCCTGACGCGCCCACTAACAACAGGTGACCCAAAGGCTGCCTCAATACTCTATCAATGCGTGCAACATGGTGTAGAACTTCGTCGAAAAATACCAACTGCACCTGAAAAACTTCTTCATTGAACACGCGCAGTTTCCCTTGAAGCAACGAACGCAAAGCTGGCATAGAAACCTCACAGTACTGGCGACTTGCCAGACTGGTGAAGAGTATGGGGCGCTGCAGCGCTTCATCGCTGACGCTAGGGAAATGCCTGAAGCACCGCAGCCACAGCAACAAGCAGTCTAAACACATTAAATGACCTGAAAAACGGGGGAGCCAAAACTGGCGTAATACACCTAGGTCTTCAGCCACTTCTGCACCCAGTTGCGCAAACCTACGCTTGCGTGCACTCTAAGGCTTCGAAAATAGCTCTTAACAGTTTTTATATCGCGCATCCCAGCAACTTCAGCAAAAAATCCAGTTATGTTGAAAGGTACGCCTTTGAGTGAACTTACGTCCGCACGATTTCGTCAAGCATTGCATCCGTCTTCTCCCTTTCTGCCTCCGTCACAAGTCTGTCACTAAATATCCGCAGTCCCTCATGCGCATAAGTTCTCACGAGCTGAGTCAGAGTTATGCAGTCACTGTCAGCTGCGCCGGCAAACTGTGCACCTCTATCCCAGCCTGTGTCGCTAGATGACTTCTTAGTCACAGCTTCTGCATCAAATTTTCCGCCCCCGGTTATTGCCTCTGCTAAGGCCAGTTTCCACCTTGTCAGCTCCCTTGGAGAGTAGATATAATGGGGCTGCTGGTCAACTGTGAATGTGCTGGAAAACGAAATGTAGAAATCCACCATTGCCATTGTTAGCGGGTCGGCCGAGGGATACAGGTCAGGAAACGGCCGCAGAAGTGCCCGATTGAACGTCCTGTAGATCTGAATTAAAAAGGACACTCTCTCACATTCTACATGAACCTAGCTAGCTGACGGGAGCCATGGACGTGAGAAAATCTACTAAGTGACGCCGGATCACCTGTATGAGTGATTCTTTCCCTGGAAAGTCGACGAAGATTATAGGAGCATGGCGAAGGAACCGGTTGCTCATGTGGTGACGCCCAGCGTCCGTCGGTGGATTGCATGCTCCTGCAAATTGCACGCCTTCTACGCGAATCCAGACCCAAGGTGATGCTTGCTGCAACTGTGGCATTGAGCGCCAGAAGCCCCCGGACTCCGCAATCTGACGCATTAGCATTATAACATGCTGTGTTCCGTATTTATCGGGAGACGGCAAGTTACATTCATCGCAGAAAATTATAAGGGTGCGGCCAGGAACGAGTGGCCGCATTACCATCCCTCCTGCCGCAGTTTTAGTTAGTTCGCAATAGTGGTCGAAAGTTTTGAACAGCAAATCAGGAGTGGATCCTGATGAGAAGTTGAGAAACGCAATGTCAAAATCAGGACGCTCTTTTAACACTGCCGTGAGAGTCATTGTCTTTCCAGAGCCCGGGGGACCGCAAAGAATAAAAGGCCGCTTCTCTTCAAGCCATCCTTCAACTACGTCACGGTGCCGTAATGTGTCTACAGTCTGAATGACAAGCGTCGCGTCCTTCACCTGTGGGAAAGTGCAAATATACAAAAAATTTAAATTCTACAGCCACACCAAAAGCGTATACAGAATGGTGGTGTCGAATCGTCACAATTGCTCCAGGCTCTACAGTCTCACCTGTTGAGTGTCAATTTCCACCTGCTTCACTCGAGATTTCCAGTGGTGCCACTGACCATCTTCAATAGATGGCTCAAAATCCAACAACGTCTGTCCATCCGCATCACCAGATGCTAATTGTGAAGGCAGCGGTAAGTCACAAATGCGCGCCACCTCTTCACTAAAAGCAGACCTCGCTGCTAGGCTTAGGGATCCGCCCATGCCCCAAAGAATGGACAAGATCATCCACTGCAGCACACAGCGTCGAACAGTAGTACAACTGCTTGCACTCGCGGCGGCTTTCGGGCCCAGATTTGTGCCATGGACGAAGGGCACACATGAAGGCCAGCATAAGTTCACTAGAATACCCCAGGGACTAAGAACTACTTGCCTTTGTAATGAACTGGCCTATGAGGTCATCGTCCATAGATTCCCCCGTCGGTCTCAGTTCTTCATTCTTGTCAACAACGCGACTGATGCCCTTCTTGATTAGGGAAAACATGCTCTCAATGCACCTTATTTTTGTAAACTCCATTATATGCTGGTGTTTCATTGCTTGCTCAAGGCACTGGCTTGCAAAGCCCCCGGCACAAAAGAAGGGCTGAAGAATGGCCACGCAACGCTCCTTTATGCCCTGCGCAACAGCTTCAGCTGCACCTCTGCCACCTGTGGCAAGGCCGCCCGTCATGGTCCCCTTGGAGACTAATTTGCCGACGCTTGCCTTCGACACAATTCCTGAACCGGAACGAGCCATTTCACGAGTAATGGAACGAGAGCCACTGCGGTCGATTCCCTTTGCCTGTCCTCCGACTCCCTGAAGAATAACTTCTGTCGACGCAGTGCCAGCAGCTATCTCTTCTAGATGATGCTGAAACACCACTTCGTCAGGCAAGACCGAGCTTGCAAACCACACAATTCCGCATCGACTGACTGTGGCAAGCGTGGCATACTTGAGGGTTTCCACTTCGAAAAGAAGTCGAATACAATTCGGGATTTCCAACCTTTCACCATTTGGAAGAGTGAGTAGCTTGTTGTCATCAAGTGCAGAGTTGAGGTTTTCTGCCCAATCCGGGTCAACATCTCCATCAAACACAATCCAGTGTCTCCGCTGCTGTGCGCTGTTCCCTGACTCTTGTGTCGTTGTTAAAATCTTCCGTAATACGGCAGTAAAAACGCCATCTTGCCACTCTAAGGTTGTGGAATCGAGTCGGCCATACAATTGTTCCTTTGCTACCACTTTTGGATCTAAAACGTAAGACATTCCCTTAATGCCGTCCACCTTTTCCATTGCGTCGAGCAGAATACGCCATGCAGCAGATTTCCCGGTACCCACTGGGCCCACAAGCATTACGCCGTGTTGCAGCCTCTGAATCTGATAGAGTTGCAGTACTTTTTCAAGCCATTCCCCTTTTGCCTCCAGGAAACGTGCCTCGCATAGTCTTTCAATTTCCTCCAGCAAGATCTTCTCATCCAGGGCGGGAATATCTGCGCCTGGAAAGACCCCCATTAGTAAGCTTCGAAGCAAAGGGACATCCTGAGCTACAAGCTTTGGAACGACTGTGTCAGTGACCGACCTAATGAGAAGCTTCTGCTCCACTGTCTCCACCATCTCTAGATCATCCACAACTGTGCCTGCTCCTGCCTCTTCCTGAAGTAGCTGGCGTTTAAGATTTCCAGCAGAGCTAAGTGCACTCTTGAGTGACCGTAGCCCGAAGTCATAGTGAGGCTGTTTAGACAGCTGCCTATCGCACAAGTCGTACAGTGATATGATTTTGCTTGAGAGCCGCTCAGCAGAGCGAAAACCTTGTGCGTAAAGCGTCACCTGCGCGATAAGCTGCTTATCAGGTTTGATCATCGCTACCTCACGGAAGAGTTGTTTCAAGTTATCTGGCAAGTTGGAACGCCCAGCGTAGCCAGGATTCATCGTGACAAATATACCAACGTTGGTGTTCAATTTCGTCGCTCTCCCCAACAATTCTATCTCCTTCTTCCCCTCACGCAACCCAACCTGCGGAGGTAACACATGGATTCTGAATGACGCGACGATTACACGCTACTTGCTCTGAGACAAAGCCGGGATGGCACATGTAAACCAGGTTTGTTCTACTTAGGAAGTGCGAAATTCACATCCAAGGCTGTTGTCAACGGTAAGGCTGCATCCACAACCTAGCCTAAAGAAAATGATGGAGACTATGGCCCGCGAATTTGTTCACCTGGATGGTCAAAATTTGTTCGGATACAGCCGACAAAATCCTTTCATCAAGACGATTAAACTCGTCAAAGCAACCCCATGCGCCCACTTGGCACAACCCCGAGAAGAGCCGACCCATTGCATTGAAATCAAAAGTCTCATCGCAGTTGAATACCAGAGTATACCTCCCTAAAGCAGAGCCTAAGGCTTTCACTGATTCTGTCTTCCCGGTTCCTGGAAACACGTGATGAGGGGACGCAGAAACATACACTATCAATGACAGGAACTATGCTCCAGAACAACTAGCCCTAAACTTGAGACGTGGCAGCACTGCCTCTGCCTAGCTGAATCGGTTAATTTATCAGGAATCACAACCGACATCTTCAATTCGATGATCCCGCAATTCTCACCTGCTGGACCGAATGGGTTTCCACCCAGTTTCATCTTAAGAGCTTGGGTGAGAGTAAGAAAACACTTGTCAGTCAGTGGTGTCTGCACAAGTCGTTCGGCCATTCCTGCAATCATACATCACCCCAAAACGCAACGGAACTAATGCAGTGAACTCCAAAGCTTGCTAATGATTACGCAGTTTAAGTAGCTCGACCATGAGACTCAGTGATGTGCTTTTGCTCGTTTTCTTTTTGCCTCTAGTGTACACACTGCTGCCATACAACGCTTCTGAGCCAGAGCAAGAGCCAGAGGACGTGAAGAAATGAAATACCCAAATATTCAAATCCGTAGTCAAAGGCCGCATCGGCCATGCACACTTTGAGCAGGCCCTGCGGAATTATGGGGCCCGAAGACGGGGGATGAGTAAAGTAGAAACGCATGCACTCGAGCCATCCGAAGTCTTTCCTGGAGGTAATATTGTTCCTCACTAGGGACCTGGAAATTCATGCAGCTATCACCACAACAGCTTTGCTTAGCCAACTGTACGGCGATAAATGCTCTAAACATATAGACTACCATTCAAAGCCCTTTAGAAATCTGTCTCTACACTTGATGGTGCTGCTATCCCCGCACAGAAACTTATTGGTGTAAAGTAATGACCTTTGAGCAAAGCACACCTGCAGACGTCTCTTTGGTGGACCACTTCGGTGATCATATGAACGATTCGACTCCTCACAAGAGGGCCTATATCCTGAACAACGCGATCGGCGAGGAACCCAAGAAGTGTCACGCAATCTTTTAAGGCTGAAGATTCCAAAGGATGCTCTGCCTGTTCTGCTGCTTTCATTGGCTGTTGTGAGTCATCTGCCGACAATGCAGCCTCGCATTTCTTCGTCCACTGAATATTCATTGCTAGAAGCAACGCCTGCAGTGGAAAGTCTTTGATCCACTTGATGAAGGGATTTTCCAGAGGGTCACCTCCTGTCGCCATTTTCGTTATTTCAGTCACGTCAAATTGTTCCAATTGCTTTAAAGCCCTCGATACACTATCAGCTAACGAAACTGTCATCTGCAATTCTACTGCGCTCATCCAGTCCTTGAGAGACGCATACTGAAGAATTGAGACGCCGCTGACAAAAGGAACAACTTCTCCCTCACGCGATCTGATAAGAACCGAAACACACGCCAGAACCGACATGCAGAGAAAATTCACGCAGCCACTACGTTCATAACCATGTTCACAGGACACGAAACGAGTGCGGAGCAACCAAAGCATGCCCTCCTGAATAAATGCACTTGGAGTTTGTCGTTTGGCTGAGCAGAAGGCATCTTCGCTATACATTTGTCGCAACATATCCTTTTCCCTGCTCACGTCATTGCTGTTATTGTTGTAGGGTCCTCTGGGTCAGTCTCCAGCGCAGCGATTCCGGCGAAAAGCTTGCTGATGTGGCGCTGCACAAGCTTCACGTCCTTTGCGTTGCCAATCATCTCCAAGAGATCTTCGTCTCCAACAAAGTAGAAGCGGGAAAATTGCTCCCTTTGCTTCTCAAGATACTCTCCAAGCGCCTTTTGAATTCGAGAAAGCAAGTCTGACAATCGTTCTAACTGACGACCGAGACCCTCAGTGGACGCTACCTGCATCCATCGTCCCAGTAAAGCTCAATGATACAGAGTGAATGAAAACTTACTATAACCTCGAGTGTTTAGTATGCTTCGCAATAAGTTCCCCACGGGGACTCCGGTTTAAAAAAAAAGGGCAGCTAAACTAGACGTTTTCGAAAGCTCCCCCCAAGATAATAACCGTCAGCGAATTACCTCCAAGACTATTTTTGTGGTGTCTGCTTTCTTCATGATGCCCTTAAACTCTGCGTCGATTCCCCTAAATCGCTGATGCTCAGCAGGAAGGAGCATTTGAATATCTTGGGAACCGGAGAATACCCCTTCAAGATAGAGCCATTTGCGCTGCACTTCCACCCAGCTATCCAAAAGGATGCGCAGCCTGTTCAGCTTTTCGTCCCAAGCCAGAGCTTCCTCCTCGAATATCTGCGAAGTTCTACACATGCAGTTTGCAGATGAATTGACGTAAACTGCGCACAACCACGCCTCGCTCCTGCGTGAGTGCGGCGAAATGTGCGTATTCGCAAATTCCCATATATACTCAACATAATGCTTTGAAACGCTTGCGAGAAGGGTGAGCATTCTGTCTGATGACTGATGTCAACTTCATTTATCCTGTAGAAATACATGTCGAGTCAATTCATCTACAGCGTGCTCAAATATGCATTGACGGCACCTTTTGTTCACAAGGATTTCCACTGAAAGCTCAAGGATTCCCACTGAAAGCCAAATAGGCGAAACCTGTAGCTGCTCAGCGGCACATGTTTTACCTTGAAGAAAGGGGACATCTTCATGGACTGCAGTGATGCCAGCTGGTCATCGATAATTTGAAAGAGGTCTTCCCAGCCTTTGATTACTTTGCACTTGTTCCCGCAGGGTACCATGACAAATTCCCTTTCTCTCCAGGCATCCTTAACTTGGCGTAGGAATTCCTCCAAGGCAGACTCACCCTGTGCCTGTATCAAGACCTCGCGGATTTCAGCTTCGTTTGCAGTCAAGTCAGCATCTGCACCGCATGCAGGCGTCCAAAACTCCAACTGCACTTCTCGTTGCATTACTCCTCAAATGTTGAGCCGCACTACTATCCTCCAAACGTACACAAGAGATTGGCAGCCTAACTTGCAACTGGACATTACATGTGGGGGAAATGCCAACTGCTGGTCTACTCATGCACAGTTACGCGTATGCAAAACTCACCCCAAAGATTTCCGATTGTCATATCTGTTACGGACTTTCGGATTTTTAGCTTGGAAAGGATGGTCTTCCAATGCCTCTCCTTCAGGGAATCCGTTTTCATGTCGGTGATTAGCATATTTAGCGAAAGAAACTTGTTAATCTTCTGCTTCAACTCCTCAAATGCTTCATACTGGCGGAACCGGGCTGGTATTTGCTTTATTCTCTCCAGCAGCGATTCCAATGAAGTTCTAATTTGTTTCGGAACTACGGCTGCCCACACAGTCTCACGAAGCCCAGTTAGCTCCTTGTGCAGCCCACCGAGGGCTTCCCAAACCCCCTTCATGTCTGCGATTTCCTCTGCTAGAGCAGACGGTGAAAATGTCTCGCCCCCGGAGCTCAACGCAGTGTCCTCCATACCCAAGGCTGCCTTTGCCTTCTCCCCACATTCGTAGTCGGAAGTTATCTTTTCAAGTTGCTGCTCGTATTGTCTCAGGATGCTCATTGCGTGGCCAGGCGCAATATCATCCCTCACGGGACGCTGCAACATCCAATCGGAGTACAGCTGCTGAAGTTTTTCCTGAAGTGTCGCTGCGAACTGCGTCACAAGAGTGACAAGTTGTTCTTTCGCTTGTTCTACCATCATCCCTTGGTGCCTTAACAACTGGGAAAACATCTCCATTTCGCCTTCGATCTGGTCGATCCACAGCCAGTCACTCGGAAACGTGTACCGCTGTCTTTCCAAAAGGCGCTCACTGGCTCTCAGTGTGTCAATCGTAGTGCTCCACTTTGGCTCTAACTTGCTGGCCTCCTGCAACTTCAGGAGAAATTTCGTGAGATTCGACACTATGTTTGAAACTAGCTCATCTCCGATCAGCCCTTGGCTGCTGATGAGAGCAGACATTTGTGCCTCGGACATTGAGAGAAACGTAGCCGCGTTCATGGCAGTTTCAGTGGGATCTGCTACTTGGCCTTGTTCTTCCAGATCGGCAACCATAGCGTGCAGAGAAGTGAAAACAGAGCTCGCATTTGCAGACACCTTCTGCCCAAAAGCGTGCAAAATATCGCGATGCCAAGCATCATACCTGGTGTTGAGCTTCGCTTGTACCTGATGGTGATCTACAATTGTGGGCCCAAACATTGTTCGAGCTTCGGTATTGTCGAAAGGACTCCTAGCCTGCTTAATTTCGTTCAGTAGCTGCTGCCATGTCTCAATATCGTCTCCAAGTTTGCCGAGCACCTCACTCACATCAACGTCCCACAAAACTTGATAGTGCATCCAGTTTGCTACGTACTCTTCTACGTTACCCATAACCCCTGAAACACCCTCAACACAAAACACCCCTCAATGCGTTCCTGAGTCACTGTGGACAATCACACCGGGTATGGGACTAGTCAAGTAAGGCCCAAATGCTCTGCTATCACGGCCTGTAGCATAACTAAGAGACAAGGATGCTACTTGAATCGTAGCCCGATTCGCGGAAGGCAATCCTGGTCGCCTACACAGTATCAAGTCTCACTGTCAATGGCGGAATGAGCTTTGTCGATGACTTCCGCAGGAATCCGAGAAGCGATCGCCCTGTAGGTACCACCTGATTTGGGCTTCATGGGATCGCCGTTCTCAAGGGCCTCATCTTCAGAATCTTCATAATCCCAAGCTGTCGGTTCTCCCCCAAACTTCAGAGGCCTAGCGCTGTTTCTTGAATTAAATCGCGGTAACAAGCAAACAGATGCCATAATGCGGTGCAGCGATCCCATCCAGAGCTGCCGCGCTGCTTCCACTGCTGGATGAACTTGAAGTACTTGATTCCTAACCTGCAACAAACGAAAAGATGCATCTAAAAACCAGCACGCCGCTCGTGTATATCACTCACCTACAGACATTCCGCCCATTACGAGTACGCAAATCACTTTTTGCCCAGTCAGGTGCAAAACTTCGTTATATTTCGCGTAGCATAGGGGCCTAGTGTGAGTGACTGTGATGCAAAGAGAATGTGCTTACTTGAATCTCCAAGACAATGCCATTCTGAATAAGGGCGGTGCCCTTATTTGGCCAGTTCTCAAATTGTACGGTCCACTCCTCCACTAGTTTGATAAGCCGTTGTGTCAGAATTGCTTCAACACGGTTCTCGAGCACCTTTGTCCATCCTCTGATATTGGAGTAATTCTGCAGGTGTTGCTCTTCGATCAACTTTTGAACGTTTTGCAGCACCTACAATGCACACGGAAAAGAACGGCTTGACTACAGAACTTATCACTGAATCCGCGTATCTATAATGCGCAGCATACATACGTTTGGACGATTTCTATACCTTTCTGACTATCTCGCAAAGAAGAGACACTCGTCTCCACACATAATCAACAGGCATGCTAGATGGCAGCGAGCAAGCTTGAATCCTCACGCCTCAGCTTAACCTCGCTTTCTGCTTCCATCTGCAAGCAACCTGCGCTGGTCTTATTGCTCCCTACTAGTCCTACTGACAGCAAGTATATCTTGGTATGGAGCATCTACAGGCTTGTCCTTCAAAGTATCGATTTCCTTGATAGCCTTGTTGTGCTGCTGTAGAGCAAATTCCGCCTTCGCCTCAAATATATAAACAGTTTCTGCGAGTCGCTTTACATATGTTTCCAGACGGTCTGAGTCCCAACGAAGGCTCATGCCCTCGGCGAGTTTTCCCTGAGAATCGCGTTGGTACGAAGCTACTAGTAAGGCCACAACGGCCTCACCTGCTCCAGCATCCGCCCCCGATGGTGGTGCAGGGCTTGAAATTGTGTCTCCCACGCGTGCACACGACTCAACGTACGTTCGCAAGACTTCTTGAAGAGTGATGGCGAACGGATACAAGACCTTCGCCTCATCTGCCATAACTTTAACAGAATAGGGGATTCGGAACTGCAGCGCCGACAGCAGGCGTACCTGTAGGTCAGACGCACCAAATGCACGCCGCTAACTATTGTTACATTTGTGTTCGCCACGTCTCGCATCTCAACTATCAGTAGTCCCATGAAATGTCATGCCAGCGACTGAGCCGCCTCACCTCTTTGAACAGAGTGAGCATATCTTTGTCGAAATTCACAGCCAATTCCAATCTTCCAGCTCCCCAATCCCTCAACACAAATATACGGTCGCTTGTGTCCAGGCGTTTTTGGTCTCTTACAAGATTGAGCCAGCCGTCAAAGTGCTCCTGTGGGTTGAGCTTGGCTCGAAAAAAGTCAATATCATGTTTCAGCCTTTGCCCTTCAACGTGTTGTTCCCATCCTTTGCCTAATACATCTTGGATCCTCTGAACGAGGGCATCTAGCCGTCTCTCAACTTGTCTCCCCCAAACAATCATCCCTGCAACTCGTGGCATATCTCGCACCTCTGCCATAGTTGTCGATTCAATTTTCTGATATCCTTCGAGAAAACTTCCCTGAAGTCGCTTCAAATCCTCCTTAACTACCTGAATTAACTTAGTCTGATATTCCTGAATAGCCCCTCGGATGCGCGGCCTGAAGAAGAGTGCATTGAACTGCGAGAAAACGCGGAACATCTCGGCTGATGTCTTTGATGCCCCAAGGCGGTCTCGCAACTTTGCTGTTATCTGTGACTCCACGCGGTCAATACGCGTGTCATATGCTTTTTGGCCGGCCTCCCACGCCTCCTGCCCACTTTGAGTCACGTCCAAGACATCCAATGCTTCAATAATTTGATAGGCTGCAGTGATGTCCTTTTGTGCCGCGACATCTCTACCACTACCGTCTCCAAGAACCCTGTTAAGGACCTCCTTCAGCCGGTGGTGTTGCCGTCTGAACTGTCGAACCTCAACAATCCGTTCTTGTAAAACAACATGCTCACAAACAAGCTTCGAGGGTGGTCGCTCGTTGAGTCCCCTTTTTTTCGACAACTCCCTCACGGTTTCTCGAAAGTGACGCACCTCTTCGTCCCAAGTGCGGAACAACTCTGAGCAGCCAGCTGCTGTGTGCTCAAATTCCTCATATGCCATGGAAATTAGATTTTGCCTTGATGTGATGCTTAGGAGCTGTGTTGAAAGGTCCCTACTAAGCGCCTCTACAAGGAAGTAGGCACGACTTAACGGGTAGAGAGTCGCATTCTTCAGCTTCCGCATGTGACCGAAGATTGTGCGTACCGCCTGAGTGAGCTGTTCAACAGTTTGTGCGCTGCACAGGTCGTTCAATGGGAAATCCCGCATAAGAATATTCGTGTTCTGCACTACTTCTGTCGCTTGTTTTAGTCCGGAGTCTTGCTCAAAGGACATTGTAGCAAAAACTTTTCTCGTATGCTTCAGAACAGTCAGCGTGAATTCAGCTTCGGTAGTTTTGAGCTGATCTTCCACATGTTTCAGTGCCCGCTCGAAACCAAGCCAGAAATTCACCTCCTCTGCAGCAGTGCCGGTGCTAGGATCTCTGCAGCATGTGGAGACAGCACACTGTGGGCCAGCTCACCAGTCTACGGAACTTGCGTTGACCTGTGCCACAGCCTCATGAAATTTACATATGGACGAAAACTCTAAAATTGGCAAAAAAAGGTAAAGGCTTCATGAGTTTGAAGGAACTAAAATGGATGGGCGCTTACCGCTGCATTCTGCAAACCTTCTGGATATCCTTGATCCAACGATTGACGTGGCTTTGTAAAGCAATAAGGTATGTACTATCGTGAATTTTATCGCCAATGTCATCCACTACCGGCTTGCGCTTATCAGCTGCTGCTTTCATGACGGCCGCCTTTATAACCGAATCAATGGGCAGTTCAATGAGAGGGATATCCACGTTTTGCTGTGCTTGCTGCACTGCCAGGACCAATTCCCTAAGCTTTTTACTCACAGTTTGTATGCCGTGAGATGCGCGGGCCGTAGAATCTTCCGCTGCGCCTCCCTCTCCTCCTCCTTCGGCGGCTGCTGCTGCAGTCTCCTCCTCTGAGGCGGTTTTCAGCAGTGGGCCAAAACCGCGCTGCATGTACATCTCTGTTACATCAAGAAGGCTCTCTTCCTCCCCAAACCCACAACGCATGAGGGCAAGCTGTGGGCCTATGGGTTTTGTGACAGTGTGGACCTGCCGACCCGCACCTTCCTCTCCTTCCTGGGCTCCATGCTCGGCGGTGTTCTCGTCTGCTAGGCTGAAGCCTGGCCGCTTGAGAAATGCGACGCTGCATGACCTTCCACCAGCTCTCGCAACAAAGCCGAGGTCGACATATAAGTTGTAGTTCTCCTCTTCATCGTCTGCATCGAAGTCTGCTGTCCCTGGCTGTGCAAACTGAACCCCACTTCCAGGTGCCTTGTCCGCTACAGCTTCACGCGAGGCTTCTTTGCCAATGACCAACACCCCAGGCTGCTGTTCTACAAGAAAGGGCTTAAGGACTGTCTCTGAGTTGATGGAAAGCAGCTTCTGCAGTTGCTGCCGGCTGCACCCCAGGAGAGGCGGCGTAACCTCTAGGAGGAAGTTGATTAGGGACACTTTTGCCCTCTCAACTGTGCGATCCATGGTGACTTCCTAATAACTGAAGGACCACACAGAAAAAGATCTCCAGGCCTCACAGAAGGCTTCTTAGCTGGGATGCGTCTGGAAGGTACAGGTTTGCATCACGCCTCCAATAGTCGCCGGCAGGAGCTTCCGGTACGATACCTTGACGGTGTGATTCTTCGAGTTCGCCTGACGTAGGAACTCCTTGAAAGACATTTATTCCGTGCAGTAGGGGGGTAAGAATGCGCTAGAAAGGGAAAACAAACAGAAAGCTGTGATTGGGAGTCCGGCTGTCCGTATTTGACAAGTTCCGCACACGTGGTGCTTATTTCACCAAGGATGAGCCTGACCAGGCAATAGAATAAGGGATAAGAGATCAATTCCCATGGGAAGCCCCCAGAAAAACAAAGAAATGCTATGGCCCAGATTCAATGGTCCAGAGGAGCTGCCATCCCAAATAGCTGCGCTGCTCTTTTGCCCTATGAATTCCCCCTGAAGCCCTCAACATCACAAGTAATTGAGCTTCCGTCATAGAAATTAAAAGAAATTGTGGAGCTAATGCATCAAAGGAGGATAAAAAAAACGTCCGGCTGGATACCAACGGAGAACCCGGACCACATGCATCAATGGGCACAACGGCACAAGGAGAGCTCGCTGCTGCCTTTTCCCTCTGTAGATGGACGCGATCAGAGGGAATGAAGAGCTGATTTACCAAGAATTCTAATAAAACGAATAGCTGTGCGGTGTGCTCGTGAGCGAGGTACGCATGGCTTCCCTCATGCCACCACAAGCTCGCTGGTCGTGTGAGGCAGTTCCTGCAACAAGATACTTTTGGTTAATGAGAGGACCTGTCTTGAAGCCGACGTTGTTTCCGTTTAGAAAGCCATGCTGTGCTTCTTGTGGGCTATATTAAATACATGAATAACCTTCAAAGGGGGCCAAGTCTTTATTTTTGAGAGGTTGTGTTGCTGGGGGCCGCACGAATGCCACAGCTACTGTTCGCTCCCGTGGGCGTGTCGAGCCACTTCCGTGACGGAGGAGTACGCACAAATTTCCCAAATATATTATTTAATTATGCAAATTTGCGCAGATTTTTTCAGCGACCCTAAACGCTTTGATTCGACCGAGTGCACCTGCTTGGTCGTCCTCGTGCACTCATCATCCATTAGTTTTATGGTGACGTAGAATGGCACCGCTATTTTGAAGAGCAGCTTCTACGATCAATGGGGCTTGTTTATACGTGCTCAGTTGTACGTAGACGCCTTGTGCATTCTCCAATGCTGCACATTGTCTCTACGGGGCCCGTAATGCTGAGTGACAGGTGTCAGGCACCGCATCCAAACTACTGAAGAGCTTATGGTTCTGCACTGTGTTCTCTGATTCAGCACCATATTTTACTAGCCGCTGCCATCTGCAGCCCTCCGTGGCTGCGGCATATTACATGATGGAGCTAACGGCAACACAGCGGTGACAGTGCGGCACAAAGTACTAACTGCATTTGCGTGACGTAGTTTCCTAACTTTCAGATTATGTTATTGGACACATATTCTTCAAAGATTCTCAGGAACTACGACTGGCGCCAACCTAGTTTGTTGAGGCTGGGCACAAGGACTTGAAGTATGCAATTCACATCGCCATTGTTGGCTGTGACTGTCACGCTACTCTACGTCGTGTTTATTCCAGATACCGCAAAATGCGGTATTTCAGGATTGCACAAGTGGTTCCGGGCTAGGTTTCCTAGTGCTGTACGTGAAATTCACAAGAGGGACGTCGTCGAGACCGACCACCTCCTCTTTGATTTAAATCAGCTCCTTTACCAGGTGATTTTGCCACATGCTCTCCAAAAATTAGGTCCAGTCTTCCCTTCTATCATATGCAATGTGGAATACGTACAAGGAGGAGGAATTACTAGGACTGACGCTATTCCCGTGTGACATGGCTTTTGCAGGCTGCGCTTGCATCCCCCTCTACGTTTGCTACCAGTGCAGATGCTGAAGACAGCCGCATAATTCGTGCTCTGTGGCGCATCTTGCGGAGTACATTCAAGAGATTTAGGGTCAGAAAAAATGTTGTGCTTGCTATGGATGGCGTCCCCCCCTTAGCTAAGCTTGCCATATCCCAGCAACGACGGCAGCGTGCGGCCAGGGCTGGCATTCTCTCTGAATGCATTGAGCAGTGTCTTGGACCAAAGAAATCACAAAGGGGCTCTCCAACAACCGCTGATTTTCCTAAGGGACTGGGTGGGGAGTTAGATATTCCCGCAGATGACGTTCGTTTAACTGAAACAAAACTGGCCAGAACAAGTATAGGGGGAGCATCACTTAGCAAATCTGCATGTAGAATACGTAAGTGCTGCTGGTTGTAGGGGTGCTGCTAAGTTGCGTCGCGTGCTGAACTGGTTACGCCCATTTCGTAGGCCTCTTGTTTGGGGAGGTGCAGACATTGCATCCATATTCAATTTGCTTGAGGTTGGTGTGTGCGTGCTGTTCACGGTATGCAGCCGCATATCTGCTGTCACCTGGCACGTACTTCATGAAGCTAGTGGAGACGGAATGCAGGAAGCTGGCAAGGGAGCTTCTGCGGTCAGAGCAGATCGACGCACCCAAGTAGGAGCGCAGAAACACCACCTGCAAACATCTGAGCACCCGCAGACATGCATGACGTTCGCGTTTGCCAGTCTACGCTGCCCATACTAAGCGGGCTCACGTGCGCCAAATGCACGCAGGCACGCAAGCATATGTACACAGACATGACACACAGACACACGAGAAAAGCTCTCCATTTACTGGTAGCCATAGCTCTTTTAGCGCAGACTTGTTTCCGTCAAAAACACGCTTGTGCACATTGAGGGCGTTCAAGCTGTCCACCGTATTACTGAAATATGGGCAGTTTCCCAGGCTTCTGGTGCTGGAACGGCGAGAACTGCGCAGTGCCTTAACTCCATCTAGTTATGGTTGCAGTATGTTTGTGTAGGAAGAACTGCTTTCTGACAAACATCGCATTTTCTGCAGAATTGCCGGTCGTGAGCCTGCTGCAGGTTCTTCCTTTCGGGTCCGTCTTCTTTCGGGGAAGGCGAGCTAAAGCTTGCAAACTGGATTAACATGGCGTCTTCTGCAGACTCATGGACAGAAAACAAAGAAGGACCTGCAGAAGCAGAAACAACATACAGGGCGCTGCCATCGGACAGCATTGTCATAATTGGGGGAGATGCGGATCTTGTGGTGCAGTGCCTAGCCCTACCCTACACTTCCAATCTATTCGTCTACAATCCACAGAATATTACCCATTCCAAGAACGTTAGGGGTACAAATGCTTCCTGTTTTGGATTCTTTTCGATTATGCGCGTAATGGCACATGTGGAATGCATACACGGATTTGTGCGCGTGCTTTCCGTGGGCAAGTTCAGATATAGCTACGTGATTTCACGCTGCGTACTTGAACAGATGCGTACGTCTTTCTTGTGCTCACTTGTGCTGTAAGCGTGGTAGAGCAATCCATCCAGTCAGGCACAGATGCGAATCCCTACGTATTTCCGTGTGCATGAGTCCGACTCATCCCAAGCGGCTTGCGTGCCTTTTTGTGCCCAGTTATCTATTCTCTTCGTGCCCTGTTGGGAGAACTAGAGCGGCTATTTCCAGGTAGGGAAGACAGAAGGCAAGCTACTTTTTAGTTGATTTCGTCGCTCACATCTTTGCCGCTTTCAAAAGCGTTAAATATGACTGCTGCCGTTAGTGGTTGCTCTTCTCAAGAAAGCACAGACTTGCACTGCAAGGGTTCCGGCGCAAGAGTAGCCGGAGAGTCTCCTTTATTGTCTTCGTCCCTTGTGCTTGTTTCAGGAAATTCACATCTTGTCAGAAACGATTTCGCCCTCATGTGTATTCTGAACGGCAATGATTATCTTCCAAAGCTCCCAGGATTCTCCTTCGCCCGATTCTCTGCTGCCTACGAAGCAACACGTCGCAGGTCCGCACGCCTGTGACTGATTGACGTTTTCTCGCCTGATGCATGCACATATTGCAAATAACGCCGACGAGCCCTCGCATGAGACTGTGTGCAAGACTGCGGCTGAGGCAGTCATTTCCTTTTGTGTAGGTGAGCGCAGGCCAGAATGCCGTGACTCGTCGTGGGTTGATGCGGAGGGAAGATCTTTTAATTGGCCCTTTTTTTCCGCTTTTATAGAGGAGCTGGATCGGCTACAAAACGTAGAAATGGTGGCGAGGCAAAGAGACAATTGCGTTCGCCTTGCTGGGCCGAAGACGCCTAGCGGTTTATGCAAGGCATCTCCACTGCAAATTGTAAATCAGCTGGTGGCGCAAAAGCGCCTTGTGATTTCCAGTGCAGACGGTGCAACCAGCTCAGTCAAAAAGCTACAGGTGAGCGCGCTCATGGCCCACTGCTCATTACTTTCCGATATACTGTGCCTTGTGTGTAGGGTTAGTCCATGTTCCTATTTTTTCACAGAAACAAACTTGCGGTTAGTTAGGTGCCACTCATGCAGTTGTGAGAATTTAAAAGTACGTATGCGACCTTTGCGCAAGACATTCATGCAGTTGTGAGAATTTAGAAGTACGTATGCGAGCTTTGCGCAAAAAGCCAGCGTTCCTCTTGAGCAATGTACTAAAGTCTTGCTTTGCCTTTTCCGTGCGTGGCTCCTCAGTGGTGTTTCCAAGAGAACCGGAATGGATTTGTCTGCGACATTGATATTATGGGGGAGATGCCACACGTCATGCGGCCATCCAGAGTTACGGGACTGTCGGATTCCAAGGAAGCGGTTCAGCCTGAGAGCCCTGCCCATGCGGGGAATTTTCCTCAGTCCGAGGGGTCTCTTGAGTCAATTTGCACTAACAGGTGTGTGGCCAGCAGTGCGGCGGATAAAAAGACAGCCCAGCAGAGAGCGGCCTTCAAGTTGCTACAGATATATTTCCCGGAGTTGCTACCTCTCGTGGATGAGGGCCCTTGGCGTGAGACAGCTGCAGTGACTACGCCAGCCCGTACGGGTGATTTTTCGGAATCTGATCCCGTCTCTGCCGCGACATTCCAGAAAGCGGCCTCTACTCTTCGTGTTACGACTCCGTCGAATACTCTCAACAATCTCTGCTTGGTCCGCGCAGATGTACATCTCTTGAAGACCATTTGCACAGGAAGGCATACGCAATTAAGTGAATACTCCCAGTGCATGCATACTTCTATCTGAAGGCATATATACCTTCTTTTTGCCTACAGGTGGCCCTGCATAGCCCTCCCACATTTTGCTTCGTATATCCAGCTGAGGGCAGCAACAGTTGCCACCATAAGAACAGCGAGGGCGAAAAAGGTACTGCAGAGGGCAACATGGCATATGAGGGAGAGCTTAAGGACAACTTCCCCACCATACAAGATTCCCACACCTGCCAAGTGGATGTACTCGTCAAAGAGCAAGTTGTGTTCTCGAGCAAGTTTATCGGTGGAAGCAACATCTCTAAGGCGAGAATCAAGCATGCCATTAGTATGCAGGTAAGACCCATACAGGCATCTAGCCACTGCTGCAACTGGCCGTTTCCATAGTTTTTCAGACAAGCCAATAAGTTCAGCGATTGGTAGATAATGGGGAGCTCCACACGCATATGCGTACTCAGCCCAGCACGTGTAGTGTACCCGTCCTGCAGTCTCTCCATTAACAGCTGGAGCTTCCTGCTGTTTTTTTTCCAAGTAGCAGCTAATCCGAACAGCCAGAAGCCTGACTGTTTTCCACTCTAGTGCGCATTGCGTGGGGGGTACTGTACGAGCATTCCGTGTTATATAAAGCACGCTTGATCGTAGCTCGTATGTTTTGAGTGAATTTTGTGTCGATCCGCCGCTTTACCAAAAGAATTATTGTAGGTGTGTACACAGGTATTGCGAACTCTGGCTGGCACCCACGCTGGCGCTTCTCCAGAATGTACTGTATAACTACGTCCCTCTCTGCAAGTCCATTGTTTCATCCGCAGAAGAATGCCAATGCGCGCAGTACTGGGACAAACCACATGCGAAATTGTTGATGCATTCAATTCAGGCTCTGGAGACTTGGGCCCCCGAGTTGTATCACGCGTTGAGGGCGCAAAACTGGTGCAAGGACGGCTCTCAGACCCCCTCAGGAGGACCACCAGCAGGAACGAGGCAGCAACATGTTAAGCTTGAAACTAAAGGAGAAGAAGAGGGATCCGGGCTCACCGAGGCTAGTACAGGAGACCCCACGTTCTCCGTTGAGGCTCATGTGGCCAGCGAACGCGAAAAGGCACGAGCATATATTCACGGTGAGAACACGAACCAGATCGAAATAATTGACTTGAATAGCAGATAAAATTCGGAACTACCAAAGTCACAGTAGCTAGAATTTGAGTTACGGTAGCTCCGTCCCGTTTTGTGTGGCTGCTTTAGTCATGGAGCGGCTTCACAGTACAGAGCTTGTGCACCCCACCACTTGAGACCTTGTCCTCGTTTCTGGTTTCGTGTCTACGTCTACCAGTAAACATTTGTCGTGGTGTCGCTGTGCCTGTTGGCCAATGCATTTTTCTGTCTGCGTGCGTTTGTATCTCCCAGGTTTGCTATGGAATTTGCAGACATACGTCGACGGCATTTGCCCCGACAATTTGTGGTACTTCACGTATACCTCTGCGCCGTCTCTGTTGGCCATTCGCGATGTGGTACAGCAGCAGCTCAGAACAACTGATAGTGATCCCTTTTCGCGCCTTCCTCTAGGAAGCTTTGTTGCAGCGAAGGAAGCGAGCAACACACAATACATCGCCCGTTCCGAGACACCCCAGCCCGTCCCGCAGTGGCTCTACAGCGCGGCACTCCTGCCGAAGTCCGCGCTCAAAGCACTTTACGCACGAGAACAGCAGACAGAGAGCCTTTCAGAGGCCCCCTTCGCCAAACAACTTTTAAAGGCGAGGGCTTTCCTGGAGGCGCTACTGGACAAGAAAAAAGACGCTCCATCTCTCGAATCCTGCCAAATGCCACAGCAGGCTGATTTACAGTGGCTTCTACGTGAAACCCCCGCCGTCCTCCAGAGTCCAACAACTGCAGTGGGAGGAGAAAGCATATCCTCACAAGACAGCCATGAAGACACAACCGTTCCTCAAGATGCCCTGATAACAGCAGGTAGGAGACTACGGCTACCGTGTCACCAACAGCTCAGGACATCACCAAGCAACAGATATTGCTGTTGTCGCCCGTTTAGACGGGTTGCTGAATGCCGAAGTTCGGCAGGTGGCAATACGAGCACGCCGAGTATTTAGTGGCACAAGCAGCAATAGAAATATTACTGTGACTGCTGCTAGCAAGCCTTAACTTCAGCTCTGTCGATATGAGGTCCTTGTGGTAAATGCGTTACGCATTTGCGGAATCGGACTACGATGTTGCCGGAATGCGCAGACACCGTCCTCTTGGCTTTGCACATGCTCAACAAGAAGCACCAACAAATGGAGGGCCGCTATGCTGCAGAAAATGCCGACATTGCATCTTTTCTCGGCCCTCATGTTAGCAGCTGCTGGACTGTATTTGGGAGAGAACCCAGCAAAGAGGTCGCGTGCACCCCACAGGAAACCCTCCGGGTACCTCTTTGGCACACACGGGAACGTAAGGTTCAAATGTTTGCCCCGTCGGGCCGCGATCGGCCTTGGAGCAAAGAGCCTACAGATAAAGGCCTCTGCACTTTCTCCCTACGCATCACAACCAAACAGGATACTAAGACTAGACGACTGAACATGTCGAAAGAAAGATCTGCCACCTCTCTAGACGCAGGTCATATCCCCCTTCGTCCCGCGACAGGACAACACACCCTCTCTGCTGCCGAGCGGCCGCCCTGTAGGCCCCCGGCAGGAACAGGATGGCATCTAGGTTTGCAAACTGAGGGCCAAGTTGGTGCTCGAAGAGCCCTTAACTTGTGCACAGGGAGCTATCCTGTATCTTCTCTCCTAGCAGGAGGAGGAGCCCACAGAGGCTGGAGGCAAATGTCCTCCCTGAAGAGCACAAGTTATAACATATGCGGTGAGGGATCATCGCTAGGGGTCCTAGAGGCTTCTTGGAGAGCCCTACAAACAGCAAATTTCTTCCTAAACCGCCGGCTTCTAGGGAGAACACTGGCGCCTGGGAAGAACCGTGCCCTGCAGTGCAGGTGCTGCTACTGAGGGTGCTGACCAGGAGCTCAATTTATAAAAACATGCAAATGCTTATAATATTGCGTGCATCCTGCCAATAGAACAAGTGATCTTATGCGAGCCACCGAGCTAGCAGGAACTGTACGCGCTAATGCTAGGAAGTGCACTATACAACCACTGCCCCCCACACGCACACCTGTGCAGCCCCAGTGCGCAGAGATTAAAGTGCACTGAAGTCAATTATACGGCTGAAAATGCATGAGGCGGTCCTGGCGAAGTCCTCCCGGAGGGCGGAAAAAGAAAGGCCGGTAGCAGACGCGAGGGGGCTCAGCGTCGTCAGATACCGAAACTAGGAGCTCCTCACTCTTGTGACTCGCTCTTTACTCGCCTCCGACTTCAGCAGGTGGCCCGTTTGCTCCTTATCTTTCTTCGCCTCCTCGAAGGAACCTGTGTCTTCCTTTCTGAGACGCAGCACGTCTTCGTCCGTCAGGTTTGAGGGCCCCCCTTGACTCTCCGGTGGAAATGCCTTCGACGTTTCCTCCAGCAGCTTCAGCCGCTTTAAAGGAGCAGCTGTGGGCCCCTGTGATGGCTCTAAAACTAGCCCCTCAGTGCCAATGACGAATGCGCTGCACTGCACACCCACTGAATCAATGTCGGCTGCCTGCTCGTACGTAGAGGTGGTATAAGTGGTATCTTGTGCGAAGCTTTTGGATTCAACTTTCGGCGCCTGCTGCGTTAGACTCTTGCGTGGCGAGAGGAATACGTCTGTGGCGTTTGAGATTACTCTCTGGGGCTCTGACGGAAAGACTACCATGCCCGGTAAGTCTTCGGCGTAGAGGTGTCGAGCTAAAATAGCGGCACATGGGTCCAGCCGCTGGCGCCGTCTGCATGATTTAAAAAACAAACAACATTGAGTGGTCCACCCAGAAAGCATACGTCAGACAAAGACTAATAATGCATGCACCGTTCGAAGTGCTCGGCATAAGGGAGCATACAATGTGGAGCGCTTGCAGTGTTATGGCTAGGCGTGCTAGTTTCCAGGGCGCATGCACTTATTCACATACTGTTTTTACATTAACTGGGCTACAAGACCAGTGCGAAGGATAGTAGAAAGGTCAGAAAAGACATGCGAAGCGGCACTACTACACGAAAATGAACACCGAGAGGGGGAAGCGGACAGGCGGATGCCGTACACAGTACTGAGAAACGCTAGCGCGGAACGTTGGAGCCTGAGGACCAGACAGTAATGGCAATATCCCCCACCTCTTTTTCCGTATGTAGAAGGCTTGCGGCTCCCTCAGCCCACCTTCCCTAGTGGGTGAAATTGTGTCACTGAGGGTCACGTGACTATCTGCTAGTCCCTTCTCCTCGTTTTCTTCAAGAGGAAGCTGATCCTGCAGGCTGAATTCCCGTTTTTGCTGTTGAGAAGCTGCTGCGGAGGCACCGAAAGGATCTTCCGGGAGGCGCATATACTCCAGCTGCCGGCTTGCTGAGATTCGCTTCCCTGTTTTCGCTGTCATCGGTCGAAAGGCCAAGTGACTCGTCGGGTACTTCCAACGTGGTTTATCTAGTGTGCCACCCGCAACACGTAGAAAGCAAGCGAGCTCAAGGTCACGCCACAGCCGAATGAAGAGCTCGTGAGACTGAAGACATCTCCAACAAGCACACTCTTCATTTGCTAACTTTTTGAACATGCAAAAGCAAAAAAAAGCAAAGCGCTCATGGGTTAAACGGAAATACATCCATTTTGCAAGTCGTTAATTAAATGTGATGCTGCGCTGAGCATGCATACTCTCCAGTAACCAGTGACTACGGGCTGCCTGAAGCCCTCAAAGAGCTATTGGGTCTTCATTGTTCAGCTAGTTTTATTTCTTGAGCTATTATTGCAATATTGTTGTCATCATTCACATTCTACGCCTAATTTATTATTACTCACGAGATCGACAGCCAGCTGCGGCTGAAGGGAACGGCAGATGTAACTGCTGTCCATGAACGCCTCTTGCTGCTCCTGCCACTACGAATGAGGTCCCAGCAGGAGGTCCTTCCCCTTTGTTCCTGTCGCAGCGATGGAGCATACGGAAGACAGTCAGCGAGGGGCGCCTCTCTTGGGAGGTCCTCTGCGGGAGGTTGAGGCTCCTCACATCACATCTGCAGTTGTCCAGACCTCGTCTGCCTTGTCCAGCAGGCACTCATCTGCTCCCACAGAGCCAGAGGCGAGCGATACTGGAGAGGGAGGTCCGCAGGCAGCCCTTCAACGCTCTGCTTCTGCAAGCTCCGGTGGAACAGCTGCAACGGGGTACCCGCTTGAGTCTCCCTTGTTGGCTGATGCTGGAGGGCACATCCGCAGCTGCTTCATTTGTCTTGAAGGACCGCGAAAAGGCAGGAGAGGAGCTCCTCCCAAATTACTGCACCCTTGCTGTTCGCAGTGCTACGCTGTCGTGCATGAAAAATGTTGGTGAGGCTCTCCCCGTCCGTGCAGTGACAGTCAAGCAACCGTGTCAGCTTGACAGGCGAGATTTACGCCGCTGAATGCTTCCTGTTTGTGAAGACACTTAGGTAGCTGGTAATGTAGCTAACTAAGTAGTCAAGTGGCCGTGCGACTAGATATCTAGGAACGGTACAGTCGAGTTCGTTGTTAAGAGAGCTAACGGGCTAACTGACTGAACTTGGAACTAGCTAGCCACCTAAGTAGCTACCTGGCTACTAACATGAGTAGCGTACCATCTGACTGAGGCCATATAACTAGTCAATTAACGAATTAGTGAATTAACTAACAAGTTGGACAGCTAGCTGGGTTGTTGGCGCATTTGGAGTTCAGTCTCTTCCTTGATGTGAAGTTATGTGCTTGTTGTAATTAGGACTGCTTATAGGAGGAGGCAACGTCTGGCTGCGTTCAGAGCTCGTCTTTTGGGGCACAGAGCTCCTGACACTTCTCGCTGTTCCATCTGCAGGACAGGTTGGCCTGTACTCAGTGTAATTGATGTTAGGACAGATGCTTGCCGTCTTTTTATAATAATGCAATAATATAATATATTGTAGCAGTAGGTTTCGTTGTATTGAGCAAACGTTTTGCACACAGTGTATGCTTGTTTTTCCGCAGGCAGGGGTGCACTCCCACCGGATGTTTGCCCTCAGGGACCTCCACAACCCGTTGGCGAAGGGGCCACCGACTTGCAGGAGCAGCTCCTCGCTTCATTAGCAAGGCTTCTGATGGACGATGACGGCCCGCCATCTCACCCATTCTGCTCAGGCTTGTATGACCCCCACACTTCAAAAGCGCGTGAACAGCTATTTTCTCTTTTACATAGAACCAGTTCATTGCTCAGGAGGGATGACCGCATAACAAATGTGGAGTACAAATTTGGGAAACGAGCCACTTTCAAGCAACTGTATTCCCGTTGGTTCTCCATTTTCGAGCGCAACCAAGGCCTGCGTTCCGTATGAGCTTTTGGTTTGTATGCAGAGCTGTTAAGAGCTCTGCATACAACCAAAAACTCGTCTTGAATGCAGAAGAGGACTTTGTGGCGTGTATGCTTGTTTTTCGGCGGTGTGTTGTATGTTTCGCAGCTGCGCTTGCTTCAATGCTGTTGTATTCGTTTCCTTCTTTTTGGTGGGCTTCCTCTTGGTAGCCTTTGCGGAACTGAAGGGGGTGACTGTCTTTCTGCTCTCCCTTTTCCTTTACTACCACTTCATCCTCTTCCAGCTCATCTTCCTCGCTATCAGACAAAGACGGTGCGACACAAGACACAACTTTAGGTAGCTATCTTCACTGTTTCGGCCGTGGCTTCGCCTTGCCTTATTGCGCCCGTGCACGTGCCACTTGTCGCATCACGTCCTTCTTTTTTGTTATGTTTCCGCTAGTTCTGCTTCTCGATGAGACTACTGTAGTGTGTGACTGTTGCAAGCCTCCACGGAGGACGAGTGAGAATAGCGCCTTTTTCCTTGCTTCTTTGCAATGCTGAACGCACATGTAATACAACGGGCGTTGCGGGGTTAGGCCTGTCGAGAGTTGTTTTGTGAGCATTCGGTTTCTGTTTTATTAGCTGACGACAGGGTAGTACTAAGCTAGCAAGCAGGTCTCTTGAGAAGGTTTTTGTTGTCTCAAACGGGCTGCAGCGGGCTGCAGCGCCTAACCGGGAAGATTTGAGAGTGTTTGTTGCATGTATCAACAGCACTTCTTCCCTCCATCGCACACAGTTGTCTCGATGCTGTACAACGTTTCATCATGCGTAGTGGCATTTTCTTGTTTAAAACGTGCTACTAGCACATTTTGGTGTATACAGAGAGGCCCTATCTGCCTTACCACCATCACCGCAAGCCTTCTCCAACGACTCGCCGCCGCCACCTGCTGATCCGGCCAATCCTCCTGGAGGCAGTTCGGCATCCTCTGGTGAAGAGAATCATTCTACGAGTAGCAGCTCCAGTGGGACTCCAGGAGTCCCCCTGGGTGACGCCGTGGGAGGCTTATCGGCAACCGAGGTGACAGAGAGGGGACTCTCAAATGAAGCAGGGTCGGGATATTCCCACTGGCTGTCGTTTCTTTGGAGAAGGGGTGCACGTGATAGAGACGCGTTGAATGCTAATATTGCTGCGCCGTTTCTTTCTGGTGCCGCACTGGTCGTGGAGATGAGAATGATGCGGACCGAGACCTTACCTGCTTAGGTAGAGGGGCGTGCAAGTGCCGCCTGTATCTCTACACATTTCCCCTTCCATATGCATCTTCATACTCAGGTTTTGCACACTTCGCAGTGTGCCTGTGCGCGTCAGTGTGCCATGTAAATGCATGTGCTAGCGTGCCTCGTGATATTGCCGTCGCTGTTACTTGTTCGTACTTGCTCGTATTTTAGAGGGAGGGCCATGTTCTGTCTGTAGACGGGTGACCAGGGTGCAGCTCGCTTGAGTCTTCGTTGTTTTTCATTGTTTCTCTATTCTTCATTCCACGTAAACGCTGTCTCCCTTCAATTCTTTTTCGTCTCGCAATCGTCGTAGCTATGACGGGCGGAGGCAGCAGTACCCTTCGTTTTATGCTGTTTAGAGGTTATTCAAGACTCCCGAGTGAAGTTTTAGAAGACTTCGCACTTTAGCTGCACGGCTGCTCTTGCATTCCCGGAGTGTGGTCCGCAGAGCTGTCTATTTCTTAAGACCATTTCGTCGTATCTATCGACAGAGGAAGAAAATTATATACGCGTACGCCAACTTCCCCCGAGATCCAGTGGCTAATACAGCAGGAGAAACGCATAGCCCGTCTTTCGGAGGGAAGTGAATAAGTTTCTTATTCATCAAGAAGACGTAACTTTGGTGGTGCCTTTCCAGTTGCATGTTCGTCTTTAGGCAAGGACGAACTTGATGTGGAGAATGGTTGTCGCCATTGTCTAGGTAGGGTTCCACAGAGTCATACCCACCACTTGATAAAGTATGAGCGCAACTGATAGAAACTAGGATATGCTTAGTTTGACAAGGGCCGAGTACTGCCGGGGAAATACCCATCCGGCACCTGGCAGCGGATTTGCAAAGGGGACAGCGTGAGGATGGGGCGTCACCGAGACACCGATTAGTGAAGTGAGGCATATCTTCGTCAGCATCATTTGCACAACGGATTTACTGTGAGCCCCGTCGAGGGTCCATTCACTGGTGCGGCGTACGCACCCAGGTTTATTCACTGGTGAGGCGCACGCAGCGTAAGCCCACACAGCGCCTTGACTTGATGTTACAGGACCCTAGCACTTCATGGACTTAAACACCTGTTGAAAGCTCTTCTAGACAGTCCAGTGCGACCCCGATGCTATCCAGTCACGCTACATGTTTTAATAGTCAGTCACTGTTTGTTTATACTCCTAGGCCGCCAATGAGCCTCTGGCCCTGTGAGCAGTAGGGCACTAGCCCGTTACGCAACAGTGAATTTGCCCAAATTCGGCAGAATATGGCCAAAAGTATATGTTTTGTCACATGACGCTGCGCAGCCTCCAGTGGGTTGTGAGGCAGCTGCGCCGCTATGGGCTTCGTGACTTCCCAGCCGACTAGTTGCTGTGCGGGGTATAACTGTGGTCAAATACCGGGAAGAAGGGGCTGGAAAACCACGTGATTCTGCAACTTTTCCGCACTGTGCCTACGCTGGAGTCCCCAAGAGCGCTTTTAGGGTGCTCCAATGGGAAACTCCGAAGATAGAAGGGGCCAACATCGCCTTTCCCGCTGGTACTTGCCCCTACGTAGCCAGAATAAACAAAAGAAATAGCTATTCGCTGAGAGTATCGTGAGAGAAGAGCATATATTCATAACTTGTGGGGTACAATCATCACTGTCGGCGCTGCTTCGATTGGCCGCATGCAGCCCTCCATCCCTTTCTTTCCTTTTGGCTCTTCAATGGAAACGCGAAGATTTGGGCTTTTTATTCCAGAAAATATCTCTCTATTTTTATTTGGCCCTTACTTCTTTGACGTTTACAACTTTGTCTTCTCCACTTTTTCGTGTACCCCCCGCCGCCGACTCGCCCCCACTTGAAGGAGGTCCTACCGTTTATCGACTGTGCACTGTGCTCCTTCTTTTTCCTCTAGGGAGACATTTTTCCTTTTGTTAGTTTATATAGGTATTATTCAAGAATTAATGATGCTGAGCCCTTAACGAGAACTACGCCGGACTGAAACTCTCGAGAGGTTTTGTTTTTTCTCACTTCAAGCCTTCCCATCAGCCCATGGCTGTTTCCGTACCCCGCCTCCGAGTCGAAGTATTAAAAGCAGCCAAATTATAGAGAAGGAAAGACACATGACAATGGGCTTGTCGTCAGTGTTTCTGAGGAGGCTGCTGTTGCTGTGTTTGAGCATTTTGCCCTTTGTATCGGCGGTAGGAACAAGCCATCAGCAAATTGCGCACCTTCCAGCCACTGCATCTCGTGAGACTCCGTGTTTTGGTTTGGATACTTTGGTTGACCGCTCGATTCCGTGGTTCCTGAGTTGTTTCCTCTTAACATGCCTAGGCGTGCGAGTCCAAGTGCATACATGCAAACGCTCGGTGCACATTCAAACGTTGCTCACTCTTTTGCGGTGTCTGCTTCTGCAGCTTAATTCTAGTCTGCAGAATGGAGCAGACTGTCTCACTCCGGATGGTCTCTTCTCTTCTGCGTGGAGAGGAAATGGGGAGCTCTTGGGGAGGGCTCCGTTTGACGGCCTTTTGGCGACGATCGTAGCGAACACGCCGCCAGCACCTGCTCCTGCGGCTTCTCTCTCTGAAAATTCTTCACATCCGATCAGAGCTCGCAAAAGAAGCTGGCAAGTCTTTACCCATTTCTGTACAGACTGCCGACATACCAAGTGCTGCAATTTCAGGGTCTGCGTTTACTATGGTGGTGGATTTGCGCCTCCTTTGTTTACTCGTGCTTTGGCGGTTTAGGAGGGGTCCTTCACCGGGACCCGTTGCATTTGCTTCTCGCGTGCCCAGCAACGAGTTGAGTGACGATAAAGAAGATGCAGAAGTGGTGGGGCTTCGAAGTGATTATTTGCCACTGGTGTCTTGTAGCGCAGCCAAGGCTCTTATTTGTATCGGAGGTGTTGCTGCTGTAGGTACGTCTGCACTGTAGGCTTCTTGCCCCTTTTGGAAGCAAGCCACACGCAAATCGCACACTTATGCACTGCCTCTATCAGACGAGGAGCGGCTTTAACGTTTAACGGTTGCAACAGCAATCACCGCGCCGCCAAAATTGCTATGAACAGTGACGAAGCTTTGACTCGTTATGTTCTCGAGGCGCGCGTAAGGGAGAAAATCTCAAGCCTTTGTTGTATTGAGGGTTTTGGGTTTACAGGTGCTGTGGGTCTGCGACTGACACGGGATTACTTGAGGAAGAAGAGGAGGGCACGCTTGGGGGCTCCTGGCCCATCTACTCCCTTCAGCCGTCTTCTGGGCCCTGTGTTGCTAACCAACACTGAAGAAATGCAGAAGCCCCAGGGATTTATTTCAAAACTGACGGGAGCCGCCGCTCCTCAAGAGACAGCGACAGCCGATGCACTTGGGGAACCTGGAAGTATCACGGCTCTCTACTTTACTGGCAAAGGCGTGGAACAAATACTCGAGGTAGCAATCACATTGTCAGCAAGCTACACGTTTTTCCAATCGTCAAGAGTTTGTAGTTTACGGCTGACAGTTGCACCCATGGATTAATGGCTTCGTGGAGGTTTTATCTTTGCACCTGCAGACCAAGGGTTATGTCCCTTTTACTCCCCGGTTGAAGTCCATAGTTGAAGCCGCGAGGAAGAAGGGCAAGAAGTTAAATGTTGTTTTTGTGTCGGCAGATGACTCAACTGCAGATGCAGCATCTCTGTTCCACACAATGCCCTGGTAATAAGCACAATTTTTAAATCCTAGCTCATCAAAGCACTTGTGTCGTTGTGGTTCTTATCTTCGCTGTGATACTTTACACTTTAGGGTCAAAACGTTCAAGGACTGAGGAGTTCCGCTCAAGGCTGCAGTGGCTGTGACTAGCTTGGTGCTACGGTGTGCGTGCAGGCACGCAGTGCCCTTTGATGACTCAGAGGGCCGTGCCCGCCTACGTTCCTTGTATAGGCGGTTCAGGGTTTCTTCTTTACCCCATATTGTGCTGTTAGAGGACAATGGGAGGGTGCTTAACCCTCAAGCTTACTCTTCTATGCTCGCCGACCCTTTGGGCTTTCCTTGGCCTAAGAAGGACCCACTGCAACTTCTTGGGGACAAACTCATCGACAACAAAGGAGAAGCTGTGGACCCTGTGTGACACGCACACTGGGAAACAGATACATACACTAATCAGCAATCATACAAACACACAAACACACACACACGCACGCACACACACACATACAGAGAGAGACAGAGACAGACACACACACACGCAAATAAACACACGCACACACAGCAAACCATCTGGATGCCCTGCGAAAAATTATCGCGCGTTTGTAGGTCAACTTTTGACTGCGCCTGTTCTTGTGAATTCATGCCTTCATATTTGTCTGTGCGTCCGACTCCAGTTCCTTTTGAGGATCTCTTTTTGTTTTTTTTCTGTTTAGTCCTCCTTAGCCGGTAAGACGGTTGGCATATACTTCAGCGCCTCTTGGTGTGGGCCGTGTCGGAATTTCACACCTAAGTTGTCAGAAACCGTGAAGAAGCTGAGAGAAAGAGGGGAACCGGTGGAGGTGGTTTTCGTCTCGAATGACAGAGACGAAGAATCATTCAAAAATTATTTCAGTAAAATGGATTGGCTTGCCGTGCCATTCAGTCGAACCGCCACAAGAGCGCTAGCGCAAGTCCGCCTTTTAATTCGTCTTCGATAAATGTAGATCTACATTGCAGTTTCGTGGATCTCTATAGGTGTACGAGTATGTGTGGATGAAATAATGGAACGCAAATAGTACTTCGCTGTTCTTATGTTTACTGTTTGTTACAGGTTATTGTATCCCGTATGCCAAATAGTACTGATTGCTTTACTTTTTGGAGTATGGGAAGCTGCTGTTATCTTGTGCAGGATGCTTTGGGGGTTCGTTCTTTGCCGACACTGATTTGGGTGTCGCCAAGGGGAGAAATTTTGACGCGTCGAGGTGTTTCTGCAATTTTGCGGGACGGAGAGGGAGCACAGTTCCCCTGGAAGGAAAAACCCGTCAGGGATATAGACGAGGCTCTAGAGATTGTGGCGGAAGAACCAGTTGTTCTTGCTTTCCTCGACTTAGCTGACGAAGAAACTCAACGCGAGACGCTGAAAGTAAAGCATGCACTGTCAACCTCTCACATGCACAAAGGGCAAACTGCTAAGGGTTCCGTGCATCTGACCCTCGTCGTAATCATTGCTGTTGTAGCAGTAGTCTTTCAGGACAGAGCCTCAGGGTTTGCGTCTAGGATCAGAGTCTTCGAAATTCACACTTTTGACTTTAGTATCTACTGTAGATGACCTAGGGTGTAGGATTTGGGAGTGTACGCTTTAGGTCCTGGGGTCGGGGCTCTAGTTAACCGTTTTGACGTTTCCGACTGTTTAGTTCTTAGTTCATAATTAGCCCAACTGCGTCTAGGGCTCAAAGCGTGCCCTTTTAAAGCAAGTCGTTGCGACGTCAGGTGCTGGAAGAAGTTGCGGTGTCTCTGAAAGCGACGGAGACAGGAACTTCGGTGGGCCCCGTTCCTCAATTCCTCACAGCCAAGGGCTCCTCTCCCAGGACTTCGGCGCTACGTCACATTTGTAAAGAAGGCCTCTCGCCATCTTCCTACGCAAAATCTAAAGTTTCTCTGGTAAGATGTGGTTGACGCAAACTTTGGTGTATCATTACGCATGGAACCCACAAACAGCATTCTCCACTCTGTGAACTGCTCCGCCTTCAGGGCTTCAGAGTGTAAGACTGAAGACCCTGTATGTGAAGATTTGGATTCAAGTTTTAGTTTGTAAGATAAGTTGCCCAGCTCTTAGCGTTGATGGCTTAGTGGTTCGGTTTTGAGACATGTGTGCAGCTGATCCTTGATATCTATAGCCAAAAGGTGTACGCCTTCCCCCATGGCAATCGAGAAGTCACAAAAGAGAACGTTTTGGAGTTCGTAACTAAGTTCAGGAACGACGAATTGGAGGGGAAGCCCATAACTTTGCCGGAGTAGTAGGAAAACTGGACGAGTCTGGCACTAATCGCCGCGTAGTGGCCACCCGGAAGCACCCGAAGGTATCATAAGGGGGCGTTTGAGGTCCCTAAAAATTTTATAAAGAACCCGAAGGGCCTCTTATGATGTCTCCTATGGTGCGCCTCCAATGGCCCCCGGGGGAGTCCCCAGGGGACCCCTGCATCACGTGCAAGAGGCTGTAGAATACTACAAAGCCCACCCTTCATTTGCTTTTCTTCATCTGCTCGCGCCTAGTAGACAGGGAGAGGGCGCCAGACAGAGAAAGGAGACACATTGTCTCTTACCTGCTCTAGTTCCTTTGTCATGGTATGCTTGTAAGCTTGCTGTGGGAATTAGGGTCCCGTCTCTCCAAGGCCGTCGGGCGTGAGCACTGCACTATTTGCAGCGTGATCCGCTTCGGCTGGGATAAGTAAGCACCGGCACTGTTGTTGGCCGCGATCGTAACACCACCGACACTACTAGCAGTGCTAACAGCAGTACTAGCAATAGCACCAGTAGCACTAGTTGCGCTGCAAGTGATCGCAACAGTAAACTCGCAGTGACATCATAAAGAGAAGCAGCAGCTTGTAGCACAAACAGCAGCATTGAAAGGTGCACCAGCAGAGGTAGCAAAAGAAGCGCTTGCAGCTGCACAAGCTGCAGCAACATGGCGAAGTGTAGCAGCAATAGCAAAATCACCAGCAACCGTAGCACCAGAGCCACTGTCATGGCCAGGGGAGGCCCTGCGCATGTACGCGAAAAACCAAGGAGTAAACGCAAAGGAGGGGGAAAACAAATACAACAATCATCATTGTGCAAAGTGAGGAACTTCCGGTACTTCCTAACAACAGAAAGAAGCTGCAGTTCCAACATAAATGTTTGCAAACTGCCACTCAGTTTTACAGTTTCATATGATTGTAGCAACACGAAAAATAAATACAAATAGTGCCGCCCGACGAGCGGAGAAATGAAATCGAAAAAACCAGACTAAAGCGACGAAAAAGCATGTCCTCGGTTAAGGGTTTCGGGCATAAAGCTTCGCGCTTATGCAATAATCTTCTGAGCTGAAAAGGACTGAAGAGCTTCCAGACTTATTGTGTGCCTCCTTGTCTTTTTTCTTGTCACTAAGGCCCTTCCTATGACTCTCTTTCCACTATTTCGTCCTCCAAAAAAGCCCCCTCTTCCGAGGGCTCCTGAAAAGGCGGAGGCCTACACCAAAGGGTTCCGTAAAATGCCTCCATTTAGAGCTGCTCCGGAGGATTCCTGGGGCTGCTTTGTACTTTTGCCCTCAGCCAGTCGCGAGCACCCAAAGCCGAAGCAACTTTATTGAGGAACGGCAAGGCCATTATCTCAGACAAGCGAAACTGCACAGAAAGAAGGGGCAGCACACTCCGACTCTTACCACTACTATTGTTGCTGCAGCTCCTGCTGCTGCGAATGCCGCTGCTACTACTACTGCTGGTGCTCGTGCTGGTATTGCTGGTGCTGCGGACCTGCAGAGACCGTTCGTAAGTATTGTCCGAACCGGTTGCGCCATCAGCTATTCTCGCAGCCCCGAGATCACCAACGGGATGCCTCCGCGTTGAGCCCCTTCGGTGGAAGTCCGTGGGTGACTGCACAGAGCCCTTCCTGGAAGCGCAGTGCAGCTCTTTGAAATCGCGATAGTAGTCATCTCTTTCGTTTGTTTTACTGACGCTGCCTCCCCCCAAGCCCCTTGGAAGCTGCGCCTTCGCTGCTTCCAGGTCCCTGGCTGTATTGGAGGGCTCTTGAGGGGGCCCGTCTTCTTCATAGATGCAAGGAGGCGCTAAAGGCCTTATCATGCCCTCAGTAGACTTCTTTAGTGCTCGTGTGGTGTTTCTCACCAAGCTCTGCGGTCCAGGGACAAGGTAGCGATGAGCACGTATCTTCCGTGAAACCTGCATGCGCAGCGTGCGGGAGCCCTCCGAGGAGGATGGACTACCCCTGCATTGAGAATCCCCGGCACTGGCATTTGCCCCTTTCGTCCAGCCAAAATTTTGGCCCTCGGGAAGACACTGCTGGTCTGCACAAAACTGGGAGGCCTCAGTTTGAGGACATCGCTTTCGTGTATTATGGTGCTCCATATCATCTGCAGAGGGGCTCCGACAGGGGCTCCGACAACCTGAATCCTCGGAACTTCGACGAGAACTCTCTTTCTCCCAAATATCATTCTTCACAGGTGTGAAATGGCTTCCATTGGTGTTTGAGGAGCCCCACTGGCAACTTCCACAGTTATCCTCTGTACAGCACGGTTTACAGAGTTCTGCCGTGGGGCGACTCTCGTGGGGCTCCACACCCATCGGTCTATCCAGAAGGCCGTCTCCTGCGTTAGACACGGTGACGAAGGTTTTCTTTACCATCAGCTGCAACTGTTGATTTATCTGCGGCTGATGCTGCTGTTGGTTGTCTTGTGGATGAGCTGAGCAGCAGCCATTCATCGCAGCAGGTTTACCAGCTTGACAAGATCGCGACCCATGAAATTCGTCTGATGCCTTTTGAGGGTCCGCTAAGGTGCCCACCAAGTTCCGTCCCGCATCAGCATAGTCAACACGCCCGCTATCTCTATCCCCTAACTTCTTGGGGTCAACGGAGGTCTTTGATATGGCTGTATCGGGAGCAAACCTTTCCGCCACATTCTGACCCTCAAGCGTTTTTGTACTTTCTTCTCCCTTGGGCTCAGCAGAAAACACACAAGAGTGCGCGAAAGGGTCATTCAACTGCTGCTTAGTTGGTGCATCGGCGAAGCCTTCTAGCGGCACCTGATAAGCTCTTTGGTAGCTGGGACTCGTTGGAGCCAAATTTTGAGCGTCTCCGCAGGGCGTGTCACCAGAATAATCGGATGATCCAGATAAGCATTTGCTGTTGTCTTGGACATAACTATTCTGAGGTTTCTCCCTTGGGTCTGCATTGGAATAGGGAGATATGGGGGACAAGCACAGACGGCCAAATGCCGCTGCTGTTGGAGAGGCGAATGTTGAGTCACTTGATGTAGGACTGCGAGTACGTATATCCTCCTCAGCCGTAGGGTTTTGCCCTTCTACGCCTGCTGCTGCTATTGCTGCTGCGTTTGCCGTTGCTGCTGCTGGACGTGTTGCTGCAGCGATGGCGCTCTTCTCACAACAGAGATAAGCTGGTGTCTCTAAGACATCTGCTGGAAGTCCCCTCCATTCTAAGAAGGTTGAAGAACAGGGAGTGAGAAGCCCCTTGCTGTTGCTGCTATTGCCGCCTGTCGGGATCAGCTCACATATCACATCAGCGGCCGGGGCTCTCGATGCCCTTACTGCTGCTAATGACAACTGGAAAGAAGGAATCGGGGGTACGGCGCTACTGCACGAAGAGATAGCGATATGTTGCTGCTCCTGCTCCTGCTCCTGCTTCTGCTGCTGCTGCTGCTGCAGAGACAAGCGAGCAGCTGCGGCCAAAACGCCAGCAGTTGCTGCTGCTGTCACTGCTGTTGCCGCTGCTGCCGCTACTGCCGCGTCTGCCGCTGGGGGTGGATCGACTGCTGAAGCTTTGGACGTGAATAGACGGCCACCGTCCTTCTCCTCACACTCCATTGAACGAAAACGATCGGCTACTGCTGCTGCTGTTACTGCTTCGGGGCGTTCATCACGTGGTGAAGCCCCCGTTGCAGTCTTTGCTGCACCGGACGACTTTTTCGAAACCTGGAAAACAAACCCAGACCTTCAATTCACAGTATAGCGTTAGTCTAGGCGTTTTTAGTGTCGCGTGGAGGATCCCAGTCGCGCACGTGCACCCCGTTTCTCCACATTTGCATGTTCCCTCCTCAGCAGTGGCCACTGTGTATGCCCATGCGACGCTCCAAACTGCTTTACTGCTTGGAAGTGTCAGTAGTTATCGACACCTCTAGAAGGTGGCTCTCTAGTTGGCTAGCTCATTAATATTCGCCTTCCCTCTACGCCGTGACTACCAGAAGCCCTACCCCATAAGCTCTTCTTTTGCTTCTTTCGCTTTTAAGTACCCGGCAACCTAAAAACATTCCCATTTGCTGTCTAGTTGCCTAAAAAGTACCTAACTAGCTCGCCAACTGTATGCGGGATGGGGTAATGTAGTGGGCAACAGGCGGGGTCTTACTGCTTGCTTGCGCCGGAGACTGCGAACATGAGCATCGTCTTGACTGTCTTTGCCTTCTAAAATTATGCTGTTGTCTCTCCCCTTCTCCCCGTCAGACCGGTGGGGACCCCCTGGAGGAGCGCTGTTGAAGAATGATGTATCTTTGTGCTGCTCTAATATGACTGACTCAGGGGGCATCCCGCGGGGCCCCTGTCCGGGCTGCTTCAACCGGCCCGAGCAGTTGCTCTGCTGTTCACCAAAAGAAGTGGAAAGCTGCTGCTCGTGCTCCTGGTGAAGCTTCTCAAGGTGATGTTGCTGCAGCTCCTGCTGGTAGTGATGGTCATGGTAAAGATGACGTTGCGGTTGATGCTGCGCTTGCAATTTCTGTTGCATGTTCTTCGGCGTCGAGGCCGTCGCAAGTGGTCGTGAAGCTCCTCCTCCTACAGCTACTGTTGCTACTGCTGCCGTTGCTTTTGGTGCCCCCGGTCCCGTCGAAGGCGATTTTCGTGCATCAATCTTTGGCTCAGCTGTTGCTGCCGCTGCTGCCGGCACTGGTGGCTTTGCACCAGTTTCTGCAGCACCACCTATAGGTCTAGGTATCCTGTAAAACCAAGGATGTGTCAGCGCCTGCACTGCAGCACAGCGACGCGCTTGCTGTCGTGAGCACATCCAGCCAATAAGATCTTTGGCGGAGTGACTGATGCGACTCCAAGTCGGGTGAGTGAATGCTAGCTGGCACCTGAAGAGACACCTCAACGCCTTTTGTGCGCGCAGAGCATAAAGCGCACGCGGGACGGCAGCGTGTGTGCATCTTGAGGGCACTCAGTGAAACTAACGATGGCAAGCAGTAAAATTAGACAGGCGCAGAGCAAAAAAAAAAGGTACACAACAGACGTAGATGCTGATGTACTTTAGCACGGCTTTTGCAGATCCCAACACATTAGACAAAACACGCTGCATTGAAGGGCTGAAGTACGAAGAATGACTCCTTGAAAAACAAGAATTTGTTTGGTCTGTCGATTGCGACGGCACGCCGGAGCAATAGCATGCAAGCCTGTTTTTCGATTTCTTTGAATCACTGAGCAAGCAGAGCCCTTATTGTTAGCAAAAAATGGAAACCCGAACATAGCAACGAGGTTGCATCCGCCTTCAAGCCGTGTAGATTAAATCCGCAAGGATTTACTAAGTAATGCTTGGCTTCAAATTGTATTTCCAGGTGTTATTCTGGTGTTTAAGGTATAGAATAAATTTGAAGGTTTTCTGTACGTCCTTTAGGCTTCTCCACTGCAATGCCTA